CTTGTCCCCATCCACCCACCCCCTTGCAGAACACGTATGTAGACATGGAGCACTTTGGCCCCTACATCGACACAGCCATGGCGGCAGCTGGCATCAAGCCCGTGGACAAGCCCATCCCTGTGTCCCTCAACTGACGCCCTGGGCGCTGGTGTTCAAGCGGCGGCGGCAGGAGGGCCTCTTGGCACCACTAGGCAGCTCTGGAACCCCCACGCGCCCGCGTAGCAGCGGCGGCGGCACTAGTTCAGTTTTCCTGCCGGCACGGCAACTTGCAGCATCTCCTTCCGCCGGCATACGCCTTCCCCCCCTCTCTTGTACTGCCGCCTGCGTTTTTGCCTGCTTACTCCCTGTTCTGGCCACATGGCACTGCCATCAGTCTGTCCTCTTATAAAAGCACGTATAACACTTGCTGGCAAAACAATGAAGACATGCCAAAAACATAAAAAGACAGGCAAGTCATTGGGGGTAGGGTTGTGCACAACGCGTCGCCAAGCTGGGATAAGTTGGGACCATGCGTCATGATGCTGCCCTCTGTGCACGGCCCCTGTGAAGACTGGCAAGAATAGAACCGGCAACCTGATTTAGAAACAAGAGACCCACAATAGTGATGCAGGCAATGCCCGAGAAGTCCGTCGCCTGGGCGGGGCCCCTCGCCAGAACCACCTGCCGATTTCCCTGCGCGTCGGGATCCTTCAGGCACGCTGCAACGCTGGGACGTTGCACAGCGTCGTGTGGCAAAAGGCTGCCAAGCTGATCGGATGCCAGCTCGACCATCAGCGGCACTGCCGCCTCCGCAGCAGCACCCACAGGGCTGGCCAGCTGCAGCTCATACTGCAGTACATTGAACTCTGCGCTGGCTGGGTCCACTGTCATGTAGACGGCAAGCAAGGCTGCCACGCAGCGAAGCTCAGGCCGCTCAAGCAGGGCTGCCCGCTGGCGCAGTTGGCAGCGGCCCAGCAGCGGATCCGGGGCCGCCAGGCGCAGATGCCCCGCGCCAAGCTCCAACCTCGTGGCAGCCGCAAACAGCTGTGCTGCATTTGTCGCCACGTGAAGGCCTCTGCCATCAATGCTGAGCGAGTCCAGCAGAAAGGGCGGCGCCTGCGGTGCACGCAGCACACGAAAACCTGGCGTCAGCTGCGCTCTCCAACCCTGTCGCAGCAGTGCATGGACCTGCGGTCCTGTTGATCACAGCCGGCACCGGCACTGGGTGAATGAGCACGATGCACGCATGCATCCTGCACCCTCCCAGCCAAACTCTAACTCTGGTGATGGGAGTGAGGAGGCCTTGGACCGCCACAGCAATCTGCATGAGCTGCTTCAGTATCTCAAACATCTGAATTGCTTGCTCTCTATTCTGCAGCGCTGTGGCAGCAGCAGTGGTGGACGCTGCCACGACAGCCCAGTTGATCTGATGCATGGCAGCAGCAGCAATACCAAAGCCTTCGAGAGCCTCCGCAGCGCCTGGTGCCTGCTCTGCTTGCACAGCTTCCACGCCAGCTGCCTGCGCCGCCTCTCCTGCCGCCGACGTGGCTGCTGCTTGCTCGGCAGCTGCTGCCAGTGTCACACTAATTCCCTGGATTGCTGCCAGCCATGCCAGTACTGGCACTAGTGACGGGTGAGCAGCCCCCTGCCGTGCTGGTAATGCTGGTACCTGCACCACGGCGCGATTGTACTTTGCCACAGCATTGTTGATGTGAATTTGGACCAAGGAGGAGCCGGGAAGCACCATGTGCACTTGGCGCAGGCTAGAGGGTGCCCCCGCCAGGTCACCGCTGCCAAACCAGTACAGCTTCAGATAGCTGAGGCGGTGGAAGGGGGCCAGGATGCCTGCGGGTGTGGCGGAGGTGGAGGCTGGCTGTTGGGCCGCGGCGCATCCAAGCATGCCTGGCAGGTCGACACATAAGCAAGCTGCAACCCATTCTCACCCCTGCATGTGGCGCCGCTGCCACTCAAGATACAGCAGCAAGGGCTTACCCGCATCAAGCTGCTGGCCCAGCCTGGACGTCTCAATGCCGCGCTTGGTACGGAGCATGGTCAGCCACAGCCTTTTGCACGGGGCCAAGCAGCGACACTTGGCAGTGCGCCTGGGCGAGGACACGGCAATCGGTGGGCTGTTGGCAGTAGGGCGCCAGCAAGCGGTGAGCCTCCTGCAAATCAGGCGGGGGCGGCGCGGCCGCCATGGCAGTCAAGTGCCCTGCGGGCTCCTCCACGCAGCAGTGTACTGATCATGCAGGCAGTGTCAGTGACCGAGACTGCAGCCCAACACACGTAGCCACCCTAGTACGGATAGGGCCTCACCGCAGCGGCCGCAATCCTGTCGCGTGCGGTTGGTGGCAGGTCCGCTACGGCCTGCAGCAACCGTTCTGTGTTCATCCGACCCCCGACGCTCTGGCCGAACAACCTGCCGAGGATTCACATCTCCGCCTGCAGCTGCCTTTTGCTGCTGTTCAGGGCAGAGGCCAGTATGTTGTGCGCCGGCAAATCGAAGCCTGCCTGAGACCATCGCCGCCACGTCAGGCCACGTGCACCACGCCGTGGCGCGCGCCTTGCAGTACTGCCTTGCACGAGTGGACTGATCCCTCTGCTAGCAGCCTGCTTCATGCCATGCCCCTGGCAACCTTCACCCTCAGGTGAGTGAGTACCTGCCTGATCTTTGCAGGTGACGGGACAGGCGGGAGCGCTTCGTGCAGCGCCTGCCTGCCGAGCTCGAGCGCCGCCGTCGAATGCCGGCATAGAATATTCGCATTGATGTGCAAAGGTCTCCTTGCAGGCAGTCAATCACCGAGTAAAGCCAAGAAGGTTTGCGACTGCCGGTGGCCGGCGCCCATCAGCCGCCATGCCTCCTGGCCTTCCCACCTGTCCAATGACCTCCCCGCCATCGATGTCGACAGAATGAGAACGATAATTCACCGCCAGTACTGCAGAAGCATGATGCTCCTGGTGCGTCAGTGGCACATCCCGGCGCCCTCGAGCCGCCACCAGCGAGCGCTGCCCAACCGCAGCTGCAGTTGCAAGCGGCAGCCCGGCATTGCACTGCAATGGCTGCTCTCTCTCTCTCTCTCTCTCTCTCTCTCTCCCTCCCTCCCTCCCTCCCGAACTTAACAGAATATGTACATACATCGTGTGCGTCACATGACTGGTGTAGGAAAAAAAACGAGATTGATCACCTGATTTATCAGGTGCATGGTAGAGGCGCCGACAGTGATGACGCCCGATTTCATCGTCATGCTGTTGCGGCCCTCACCAAACAGCAGTAGTTCAACAACAGAGATCCCTAAACTAACACAACCCGACAACACCCAAGACCATGCAGTAGCCTTAAGCAGCTGCCGGCGCGCATAGGCGCCTCGGCCCCTTTCGAAAAGCAGCGGGTACACTCCATCGGCGATGGCCTCCAGACGGTGCAGACTGACGCCCTGCTGCCGCACCGCACGGTGCCGCAGGAGGGCCGCAAGCTGACTGGATGACAGCTCAGCCATCAGCGGCGGCACCACCCCTGGCATGCCATCCGCATCCTCCGCGCCTGCTGCCGCTGCAAGCAGCAGAGGCTGCTGCGGAGGCTCGTTGCCACCAGCAGGGGCTGCCAGCATCAGCTCGTAGTGCTGTGCAGCTATGAGCGCGCTGGCTGCGCCTCCTCTGTAACATGCGGCAAGCAGCGCCGCAGCATGGCGCAGGTCTGGCCGCAGCAGCAGCGCCTGCACGTCCCACTGGCGTTGGCTTGGAGCGCCCAACAGTGGATCTGGGGCCGTCAGCTGCAGCCGCAGCGCTGCCAGGCGCACTGTCCTGGCAGTCGCAAACAGCTGCACTGCATCCGCCGCCAGATGCAGGCCACCGCCGTCAATAATGAGCGAATCCAGGCGGACTGGCGGCGCCTGCAGTGCACCACGGTAACAAGCCGATGCCATCTCAGGTGGCGGCATGCTGCCTCACCCATCCTCCTGCGCAAAGCATGCGAGCCTGGGGCTCCCACCAAATACATGCCGCGCCAAACCTGGCTGATAAGAGGACGCATGCAATATGAATCCCTGCGACATCTAGGCCTGGCTCACTCACCCTGATGATGGGAGTGAGCATGCCTTGGGCCGTCACAGCAGCCTCCATCTGCTGCGTTAGCAGCTCAAACTGCTGCACAGCTTGCCCCACATCCGGCAACGCCGCAGCAGCCGCAGCGGTGGCCGCCCCCATGGCAGCCCAGTCAACCGGCTGTGCAGCAGCGGCAGCTGCGACAGCCCCCGCACCGCCTGGTGCCTGCTCTGCCTGCAAAGCTGCCGCACCAGGTACGTGCGCCGCCTCTCCTGCCTCTTCCGCAGCCGCGGCTGGCTGTGGCGGCGCCTCCTCCTCCTCGGCTGCAGCCGGCTGCTGCGCCCCTTCTCCTGCCTCCGGCAAGACTGCAGCTGGCTCTGGTGCCGCCTCTGCCTCTGGCAAGACTGCTGCTGGCTCTGGTGCCGGCTCTGCCTCGGCTGCTGCTGGTAGCTCCAGCTGCTGTGGGGGAGCGCCTCCCTGTGCCGCCGCATCTACCAGGAGGCGTTCGAACCGGAGCATAGCCAGTGTGACCTGTGCATGAATGAAGGAGGAGCCGGGAAGCACCATGTGCACTTGGCGCAGGCTAGAGGGTGCCCCCGCCAGGTCACCGCTGTCAAACCAGTACAGCTTCAGAAAGCTGAGGTGGTGGAAGGGGGCCAGGATGCCTGCGGGTGTGGCGGAGGTGGAGGCTGGCTGTTGGGCCGCGGCGCATCCAAGCATGCCTGGCAGGTCGACACATAAGCAAGCTGCAACCCATTCTCACCCCTGCATGTGGCGCCACTGCCACTCAAGATACAGCAGCAAGGGCTTACCCGCATCAAGCTGCTGGCCCAGCCTAGAGGTATGAATGCCCAACCGAGTGATGGGCTGGCTGGCACAGCGCCCATGCGCTGCGAGAAGGCGCCCCAGCAGCTCGGCCTGCCGCAGATTCAGCGTGACCTCCCTGCCCCGATGCTGCATGCCGCACACATGCAACCCCGCAATGTTGCGGCGCAACAGCAGCCACTCCAGGCATGCCTCCAGCCGGCCAAGGGCCAGCATGCGGCCGACGTCGAGCCGCGCTTGGTAGGGAGCATGGTCAGCCACAGCCTTCTGCACCCGGCCCAGCAGCGACACTTGGCAGTGCGCCTGGGCGAGGAGGCGGCAATCGGTGGGCTGTTGGCAATAGGGCGCCAGCAAGCGGTGAGCCTCCTGCAAACCAGGTGGCGGCGGAGTGGCGGGCCCGGTCAAGTGTCCTGCGGGCTCCTTCGTGCTGCACCCTACCGATCATACAGGAACTGCCCGTCATCCAGACAGGAGGGTGGCCAGAGCACAGGCTTCCGGTGAAAACATCTTTCAGGGTCTCACCGCCGTGGCCGCAATTCTGTGCCGCAAGCTTGGTGGCAGGTCCGCTACGGCTTGCAGCAACGGTTCTGTGTGCATCCGACCCCCGGCGCGCTGGCCGAACAACCCGCTGAGGATCCACATGTCTGAACTGGGACCTGCAGCAACGCGCCTGTAGCTGGTTGGCCAGTGTCCAAACGGAATGAGCTGAACCAGGCTCCCCATCGAGCTGAAGACACGTCAGTCGATGCCCGCCGCCGCCGCCGCACCGCAGCGGTTCCAGCCATCTGCAGGTAGCCCGCTCTCTGCGGTGAAGTCCGCAAGCACATCCGAGAGTAGTAGGCAACAGGCGGAGCGTATGCACTAGCTTGAGGGGGAAGATGGCTGGGCAGATGCCACGTCAGCCGCTTGCCCACCGTCCGTCTCGCACTTTCAGTACCATTGTCGACAGCGTCGGCTGTCTTTACAAACGAGTCGCAGCGCAAGAGCAAGAAAACTGGGGGCGCATGAAAATGGGCCGCAGTAGCATCAAAAAGCGGAGAGCCCAGCGGCAGAGCGGAGCGAGGAGGCCCAAAGCCAGCGAGGCGGGGCGGGCGGGGCGGCGATGGCCAGCTGTTCACATGAATTCAGCACGGGTGTGATGGGGAAGTCAGGTTGGGGAGAGGTTGCAGACCGCACAGTACAAAAGGGGATCTAATTCAGCATGTGTCAGGGCGACGAGCGCCACAAGAAAGAATGAGGGGGAGAGAGGACAGGAACCCGGTGCCGGCAGACAGTGGTAGGTGGTGGAAAAGGGCGAGCTTGGGAGGGCGGCCAAAGCCCGGCAGCGCAGCTCGTATGTGGGGCTGTGCTGCTGCTTTGCAGGCCCAGCAGCAGGGGCGGGCGACGAAGCTGGGACGAGCGCCTGATTGATGAGCAGGTAGCAAAGCAAGGATGAGGGAGACAAGAGAGGGGCAGGGCGAGCGGGGCGGGCATGGGGCCCGCCACACCGTGCCACCGGATGCCACTGGCGGCAGCGGCGAGGCGCCATGCATGCTCCAGCGCGCCCGGCTGCAACTATCAACTGCCGCACAGCAGCGGCCCGGCGCCTGGACGAGGAGGCTCATGCGGCTGGCAAGGAGCGCGACATGAGGCAGGACTGCCAGGCCATCTAAAACCCCTAAACCTATCAAGTGGTGCGCTGGCGCTTGGGCTCCGCGCCGCCCGGCTCGCCAGCTGGCGCCAGCACAGCCGGCGCCGCCTCCTGCGCCGCCGCCGCCGCCGCCGCGGACGGATCCAGCTGCAGCTTGGGCAGCGGCCCGCCGACGCCGGCCGCAGCGGCGTCCCACGCGGCGGCGGCCTCTGCCATCTCGAAATCGAGCAGCGCAGATCCAGGGGAGGGCGGCTGCACGCCGCCGCGCGGTGCCAGCGGCGACACCGAAGCAAGCGTGGTGGCGGTGGCGCCAAAGGCCGTTAGGCTGCCGGTGCCGGCGGTGCCGGCGGTGGGCGCCGCCGTCGCGTCGCCGCCGCCTTTGCCCAGCCGCGCCGCTGCCCCACCCTGCTGCTGCTGCTGCTGCTGCTGCTGCTGCTCGGATCTAGGCAACGCGGGGGACGGCGCCTGCGCGGCAGCGGCCGCGCTAAAGGCCGCCACCGGCGCGCCCGAGCCCGCCGACGCCAGTGCGGCTGGCGCCGCCGCGGGCGCCGCCGCCGCTCCGCCCTCTCGCTGCAGCTGCTGCAGCGCCGCCTGCGCGCCGCTGCTGCTGCCGGTCACCAGGTGAGCTGGCAGGCTGCCCCGCAAGTCAGACTGCTCCAGCAGGCTGGTGATGTAGCGGCTGTGAGCCTCCAGGGACAGCTGCAGCTGGCGCTGCGCCTGCGGGCGGGCGGCGCGCGGGGGGGAGCGTGTGTGAGTGGTCTATGCGGGTGTGGCGGCAGGCGTGTGTAATGTATGCGTGTGTGGTGCAGCGGGTCGCCGGGCCAGGCTCAGCATGCTTGCGGGTATGGCACAGCGCATGCTGGCAGGCGGCTGCAAGCTGGGCAGGCAGCAGCGGCAGCAGCGGGGAGCAGTACAGGTACCGCCCAGGGCAGTACCGCCCACCTCCAACTGCTCGTGCAGCTTCTTCTGCATCTCCATCTGCAGCAGGAGCGCATCCTCCAGCTGCTGCCGCCGAGAGCTGCCGCCGCTGCCGCCCGACACCGCGCCGCCGCCGCCGCCGCCGCTGTCGGCGGGCGCCTGCTCGCGGCTCTCGCGGCGGCCTGCGGGGAGCGGGGAGAGGGGAGTGCGCGGGCCGGCGGTCAACAACCGCTGCTTGTTGGCGGCGACAACCACCGCTTGGTGGCGGCGACAGTGACGACCACCGCCGGAGCAGCGCCGGCACGCTGCCCGCCACAGCCGGCTGGCCGGCTGGCTGGCAGCAGCGCTGCAGGGGGCGGCGCAGCGGGCCAGCAGGCAGCCGGCCTGGCACAGCCAGGCAACGCGGGAGGCGGGAGCCTGTGCCAAGGCCCGCAGCAGGGTGCTGCCCACACACTTGAGCGTGCTGGGCGGGCGGGCTCACTACCACCCTCCTCCTCCTCTCCCTCCTCCTCCTCGTCCTCGTCCGCTGGCGACTCGCCTGCAGGGGCGCGGAGGGGATGCACGGCGCCGCCGCTGAGATGCCGCGCAGCCGGCAGGGGTGGCCCCGCCCTCGCCGCTCCCGCCGACTCCCGCCAGCGGCGGCGGTGCGCCGCGAGGCAGGCGCACCCAGCGGTGGCCGCCTGCTGCTGCCTGGATGCGCAGCCTGCCCAGCCCTCCCCAGCCCTGCCCAGCGCCCGCTCACTTTTGCTGCGCGACGCGCGGCGGCGGCCGCGCCGCGCGCGCTCCCCCTCGGTGGCCTCCTGCTGGTCCCCGGGCAGCTTGATGTTGAGGCGGTACTTCTGCAGGTGGCTCTTTATGTGGTAGATGGTGAGGCCTGCAGGGAGCGGGAGAGTGGGCAGGCAGGCTTGGGGCGAGTGCTGGCACAGGGGACAGGCTGGCAGTACGGCAGGCAGGCAGGTGCGCCGACAGGCGGGCAGGCAGGCAGGCTGTTAAGGAGAGTGAAGAGGGGACAGGGCACAGGCTGGCAGCACGCGGGCAGGGCGGGGAGACGGGAGGACGGCGACGGACCGGCCAGGCATGCTGGCAGGCACAACGGCAAGGCGGGGCCACGGCCGGAAAGCGGGCGGGGCGCCCGAGGCACGGCCCCGGCTCCAGCCAGGAGCAGCAGCGGCGCGGCGCTGCCGCCGCTCCACGGCGCCTGCGCGCAGCTGCACCCCCGCGCCTCACCTTCCACACCCATCAGCTTCAGGATGCCCTTGGGTGTCGCCCTGTCCGGCCCCCCTAGCTCATTCACCGCGCCCACAAAGCGGCCGTGCAGGTCTGGCGTCCAGCGCAGCCGCGACTTCTGGGACTGAGCGGCAGATAGGCTGGGTGCTGCGGGCGGCGGGCGGCGGCGCGAGGGGAGGCGGCACGAGGCGTGAGGGAAGGAGGAGGCGAGGAGGAGGCGGGGCAGGGCGGCGCTTTTGCGGACGGGCGGCGAGCGAGGTGAGCCTGGCAATGGCCATGCTTGGCTGTGTGTGGCGAGCAGAGGGGCAAGCAGGCTGCGCGGGCCGTGCCGCACGTGACGCCCCGTGCCGCGGCAGGGCGGCGCGGGCGGGTGGGGGCGCGGCCGGCCGGCCTGGAGCGCTCGCCTGGGTACGGCGACAGGAAGGCCTGCTGCTGGTGGTGCATCATGGGGGGCTGCTGGTACAGGTGCTGGTGGTGCCCCCCCACCAGGTCATGGGCAAAGGCCAGGCCCGCGGCGTGCAGCGGCCCGCCCGGCGCCGCCACCCCCGTAGGGCCCAGTGGCGGTAGGTGGGCGAGGGCGGGGTCGCCGCCGCCGGGCAGGCCGCCCGGCTGCATGGGCGGGTGGAGGTGCAGGTGCAGGGTTCCCGACAGGTCTCCGCTGCCGCCGTAGATGTCGCCGCCGCTGGCGCCGTTGCTGCCGCCGCAGATCAGCTGTGGTAGGGTCCAGAGGGGCGGGGGCGGGCGGCAGGGGGTCAGGAGGAGGCCCAAGCGCGCATGCAACGGTAGGCTGCATTGCAGTTGCCTTGGTGCGAGCCGGCGCATGCATGCAGGGCCGGTGCATGCATTGGGGCTGCGCAGCGTGCACACAGCGCGGCGCCGCCAGCCAGCAGGCGCACGCAACAATGCACAGCCGCTAGTGTGCGCGTCACACGGCAGGTGGGTGCTGCTGGCGCGGGCGCTCACCGGGTCGCCGCCTGGCGCGGGCCCCATGGCCAGCATGGGGTGCAGCGACTGCAGCTGCGAGTGCAGCAGCTGCTGGTGCTGCAGCTGGCTGCTGCTGCCGCCGCCGCCGTGTGGGAGCGTGTCGGCGGCGCCGCCGCCCAGGGGGTCCCCTGGTGGCAGGGCGGGCGGCGCGCCACCCTGCCCGCCTTGATCGTGCCCCAGGTCGCCCAGCCAGTCCAGGGAATTGTTCATGGCGTCCAGGTTGAGCGGCGCGGCGTCTGGCCAGAACTCCAGTGAGAGGGGGCTATGAGCTTCGTTCTCAAGGGGCTCGCTGCGCTTTGGAGTGTCACCCATCACAGCAGGGCACCCCCACGCCGCCGCCAACGCCTCCCATCCACCTGGAGACGTTTATTGGAGCTGAAGCAGGGCGCACGAGGGGCAGGCACACACGCCCAAAGCGCGATACAGGGAGGGATCGGGCTGAAGGGGAAGCCTGAATTCAGTCAGGCGGGCGTGCGGCGCATGAGGCGAGGAGGGTCGAGGAAAGGGGCAGGAACTTTACAAAAATATTGACGCTCAACGCCTGCGAACCTCCGCCTGAGCAGCAGAGAAACATGTCTGATTGGGTGGATTCTTGCAAGGGTATTCAGGGGAGTCACCAGGCTCATAGACGGCCCCCACCGCCAGGGGCTACGGGACCTCGCTGAGCGGGCCTGCCTGCACTCGCCATTTCTGAGTGATGATTATGATATGTGGAGAAGAAGCATGCATATACTGTACAGAGGCACACGCATGGCGATTTCTGGGCTTGCCGCTCGCATTTCCATCCCGCGCCCGGCTCCTGTGGTGACCACGCCAGCGGGCACCACCCGTCACGTTGACACAGCAGTTGGAGAGCGGCACCCAGCATCTGGCTGCTTTGCAGTCGTCTGGGGGGGGGGGGGGGAAACTGGCAAATGTATGCCTGATTTGCCTGCCCTCTGAGCCCTGGTGTGGGTCTTGCGCCCGCCGCTCGTCTGCGCCCGGGGACGACCGGGACGTCCCCGTCAGCATGGCCACCAGCAGCCCTTCAAGCGCCCGCCCGCCGCCTAGGCCCTATCGCTGGAGCTTGCGGTCGCTTTTCATTAAGCCGCATTGGACTTTGCTGCTGCCGCGGGCACTTCACCATGGCAGCGCTGAGCACGGCCTTTGCTAGCATGAGCCTGGCGGGCAGCAGCAGCAGGACGATGTCCTTCAAGTCTTCGGTCGGCGGCCAGCGGCTGGTGGCTGGTGAGTGAGGGGCGGGCACCGCTACCGGGCGACTTGCGCATTGCCGCTCCTCCAGCCCGCAACTCGGCCAAGGCACCCAGAAGCAGCGAATGCATGTGGCGGTGCGCCGCGCGGCGGTGTGGGGCGTCGGTCGGGGCGGGCCGCCGGCGCCCCTTGCGAGCTGCAGGCGCAAGCCGCCTTTCTCGCCCCGGCTGGCTGGCTGGCTCACCTCTCCTGGCCCCTGCTCCCTCTTCATCCTCCGGGTGCAGCCCGGCCGCAGCGTGCCGTGGCGGCGGCGGCGTTTGTGGTGGAGGCCAAGCAGAACTCCCTCAAGCGGCAGCGCACCTCGGAGAAGGCGCGGATGAACAACAAGAGCCGCAAGAGCGAGATCGCCACCCGCATGAAGAAGGTGCGTGGTGGCTGGCACTGGGCTGGGGCGTAGGGGTGCAGGTGGGGTACAGCCGAGGCTGGCGGGCGCAGCTCACGGGCAGATCGGCGACGGCGGCTGGCGAGGTGCTGTCTCTGGCGCTGGCGAGGCGGGCGCTGAAGGCAGCGCTGTACGGCTGGCGCGGCAGCGCGCCTGGGCAGCAGGCAGCGGCGCCGGGGGCAGCGGCAGCGCGGCGGGCGGCAACGGCATGGCGACGGGCGCCAGAGCCCACTTGGGCGCATCGTTTTCTGGCCCCGGCGCCGCGCTGCATGGCAGGCTGGCAGCGGCGCCGCCGCCCTCGCATGCGCTCCGTCCGTTTTGCCAACACGCACCCGCCGCATGCCCCGCCTGGCACCCCTGCAGGTGTTTGTGGCTCTGGATGGCTACAAGGCTGCCCCGCCCGCGGCGGAGGCTGACCTGGCGCCCGTGCAGACGCTGATCAACGAGGCCTACCAGGGTGCGCTCATTCTGCTGTTGGTTTTTGCGGTGGCGTCGGCGGATCCGTGCGTATCAGCAGGGCGCTGTTGGCGGTCACGCTGCCGCACGCAGCTGGCTGTGCTGCCGGCTCCTGCCTGCTGCCTGCTGCCGTTTGCCGTGCTCTCACCCGCGGCCCGCCGCCGGCCCGTGCCCCTGCAGTGATTGACAAGGCGGTAAAGACCGGCTGCCTGCACTCCAACACCGCGGCGCGGCGCAAGGCCCGCCTGGCGGCCGCCCGCCGCAACGTGCTGGTGGCGGCCGGCCTGTACACCCCCGCCCAGTAACTGCGTGTTGGGGGCACCCGCCTTATTGCTGCACGACGCTGCGGCGGCGGCAGCAGCGGCGATGCCCAGCCCTCGCCCAGTTTTCAGGGCGGCTCGCTACGGCCTGCCGGCACGCCCGTGCGGCTTGCTTTCCTTGCTCTTTCTTTCTTCTGGAATCAAAACTATTAGGTCTGCTGTACCCGACACCATTGCAACACAAATTTACACCGCACAAGGCGGAGCTTACACTGCGACTGGCACGCGAACTGACGGTGGCGGCGGGCGGCATGCTGCGCCACCTGGCTGGTGGCGAAATGGACCTAGCTCCCAGAGGCCACGCACTTCTCGATCGGCGAATGCTTACTGGGCGACTGTCCCGAGCCCTCCAGCGGGTTGCTCATGCTGCAGCGGCGTCCCACCAAAATCGAGCTCAAGTCGGAGGACAAAGAGGAGGTGTGGTGGGTTGTTTCTGGGTGTTACCGAATGGCAGACAGCCTGCTGGGACACCCTGCTGGGACACTCTGCTGTCGCCTTCTGATCGCCGCACTTGTCTTGTTTTGCTCCGTTCCCTGCAGTACGAGGTGGTCAAGGACGAGCGGCGGCAGGCGGAGCTACACGCAGCCGCGCAGCAGGCCGGAAAGACGCCGCTGTCGCCGCTGTTCACGGTGCGCCGCCGCCGCTTTCATGGCCGCCTGTCGTCCGTTTGAGTGTCTGCAAGCATGTGCCTCCTCTGCCGGCGCAGCTGGGCGATCGGATGCAATGACTCGGCTGCAGGGCGACCCCCTGTGGCCCCCGCAGCTCGCCGGGCTGTCGCTCCCTGCTGAGCACCCGCCACCGCCTGCCCGTCGCCTGCAGGCGCACGCCAAGAAGCCGACCGCAGCGCAGCGCATCGGCCTGCAGCAGTGATGGAGGTGGAGGTGAAGCTGCGGCTGGCGGGGCCCGAGGCGCACGCCGCGCTGGCGGCGGCGCTGCAGCCCGCCCACAGGGCCACCCACCAGCAGGAAAACTTCTTTTTCGACGGCGCTAGCCAGGAGCTGAGCAGCCAGCGCGTGGTGCTGCGCATGCGCTTCTACAACAAAGATGCCAAGGCGCTCATTACGGTCAAGGTGGGCGGTGGGCCGGGCAGAGGGGTGCAGTTCTGGCCGCAGGGGCGGCGCATGTGCATGTGGGGGTGCTTCCCTTGCCGCGCACGACGCCTGGAGCGCTGCTGCACCCCTTGCTGCCGAGCGGCCGCCGTGCCCCTGCTCCATGCTGCTCCATGCCGCTCCATGCGGCGCTCCATGCCCGCCTGCCTCGCCTTTCTGTTCCGCCTGCAGGGCAAGCAGGTGCTGAAGGACGGCATCGGCCGGGCGCCGGAGGAGGAGGAAACTGTGGATCCGGCGGCGGCCCGCGCTTTCTTGACAGACCCAGACCGCCTGCTCAACCTGGGCACGCCGCTGCTAGAAGGCCTGAAAAGGCGCGGGCAGCTGGGGCTGGCTAGATGCCGGGTGATGGGCTGGGCGACAGGGGACTCTGGCTGCAGCCCTGCCTCTCATCCTCCGTTCCCAGCTGCCAAGCCTGGCCCGCAGCTCTGCCACCCCCAGCCTCCTCGCCTTCCTCGCCTGTGATGCTGCCTGCCTCGCTCCTCGCTCCCCCCCTGCCTGCCTCACTCCCTTTGCCCCGCTCCACCCCGCTCCGCTCCTCGCAGCTCGACAGGCGTGCAGCAGCTGGTGTGCCTGGGCGGCTTCAACAACACGCGGCAGGAGTTCGAGGTGGGCTGGGGTCCTGTGCTGCCGCCCTGGCTGGCTGGCTGGCTGGCTCCGGTGGGCTGGCTGGCCTGCACCCCAGTGCCACACCTCCTGCGGACGGCCACCCGGCGCACCCCCGCCAGGCCCCCAGTGTCCCAGCCTCCTCCCCTCCTGCCCTGCCCCTTGCTTGTCGTCATCTCCTGCCTCCTGCTGCCTCCCGCCTGCCTGCCTGGGTGCAGTGGGGGGGGCACCTGCTGGAGCTGGATGAGACCCAGTATGAGTGGGGCAGGCTGTATGAGCTGGAGTGCGAGTCGGTGGGTGGGGAGGGTGCGGAGGGGTGGGAGGGGAGGGGAAGGAGGGGAGGGGTGGGAAGGGGCGGAACAGCGAGGGGAGCATTTGGGAGGCGACGGCTGATTCGACTGGAGCAGGCAAAGCGGCGTCAGGGGCTATAGCAGGGGTGGCCGGCAGGTGCAGAAGTGGGGCCCGAAGGTGGCGGCGGGGCTCACGCAGCCTTAGCCCAGCACCGCTTGCTGCGCCGCCAGCCAGCCGGCCTGCCCCCCGCTGCTGGCAGGCGGAGCCGGAGCGGCTGCGGCAGGAGCTGGAGGCTTACCTGACCCAGCTGGGCGTTGGCTACAAGTACAGCACCACCACCAAGTTTGCCAACTTCAGGAACAAGACCCTGGAGTGAGCCAGCCCGGCCCCGCACTCGAGCCGGCGACGGAGCGCAGCCTGAGGCAGCAGGCGGCTGGAGGCAGCAGCTGGAGGAGGCGGGCTGGTTGCTGCCGCGCAGCAGAGCTCGCAATCTCACCCGACGGCGTTCTGGAGTTTTGCCTGGTGGCTGCCTGCTGGTCGTGCTGGCAGCTGTTACATTGGTGAAGGAGAGGAAGGGGCACCCCATCAGAAGCAGCAGATGCGGGACGGGTACTTGGCTTCTCCCCACGCGACGTCAATATGCGTCCGGTTGGGCCGAAACGCGGAAATGAGGCGCCGCCGTGTTCGGGCAGGCACTCTGGGCAGTGCTCATTGCAGCCGCCGCCCACGGTTGCCGCCCACCGCCCACGCTGCAAGGAGAATGCCCGAGCATACTGGCCTTGATACCCCCCCCCACAAACAGTACCCTGCCGATTTGGAATTGGTCTTCTCGTGGAGCCAGCAGAGCAGGGCCCAGGGTTGCAAACTGTGAGGGTTGCACTGACTGAGCAGCTGCAGCCTACGTGGTTTGCTGTGATTACAGGAGTGCCTGAGGGGCCCGGGCAGCCGCTTGCAAATGGGCGGGGCCAATATGGACAGAGGAATGTTATCAGGGGTCAGCAGAGCAGGAGGGCAGGGGCAGCCAGCACCACTTGGCACAATGGGGGGGGCCCCGGGGGGGGGGGGGGTAGGGGGGGGTGGGCGGGGGTTTTTCCTTGCGGGGGGGGGGGGGGGGGGAAAAGGGGGGGGGGGGGGCCTGTTGCTGGCAGCGAAAACAGTGTCGGATGGGGGCTCGATGGAAGAGGGGGAGGGGAGCAAAAACTGGTAAATAGAGGAGTTGATAAATTGGTCGGAGTGGCTGGGGGTGGGACGCGACCAATGGGCACCAGCCAGGCCCTACCAGCAGGCCCGCCAGCTGCCCGGCTAGGAGCGGAGCTGCGAGCCGGCACCTCAGAACATACAAGAGACACAGCAACAGTAGGCTTCCTGGCTACCGCGCTGCACACTTTGAGGGTTCTATTTCTGTGCTGCGCTGCCGGGGCCGGCCAGGCCTCCTCCTGCCGCCCAAAGAGTCCTGCGGACCTGCTGCCGCAGGTCGGCGGCAGCGCCCTGGCTGGTGCTATGGATGTTGTGAAAGCTAGGTCCTGAAGCCGGAGCAGCCCGCGGGCCGTCCCACAGGCTGCGACAATGCCGCCGCCGAGCCGCGGGCGGCGCTACGTGGCGCGCGCCAGCACAGCGGGGTCTGCGTGTGCTTGGATCCAGGGGTGCTGCAGCACCTGGCCCAGCGGCAGCCGCTCCTTGGGGTCCTTCACCAGCAGCTGCAGGGGGCAGGACAGTGGCGCAGGTCAGGAGCCACAGGGACCAGGGAGAGCCGTGAGGACAGGGGGCAGCATGAGTGGCCCAGCAGGCGCGCCACGCCACGGCGCCTCGCCCAGGGGGCGGTGCAAGGAGGCGGGCGGGCACCCCCCGCTGCCACCACCTCGCACCACCAGCCCCACCCCCACCACTGCACCACCACAACCATACCCAGCCCACCCCCATGCACACACACCAGTCACCTGCTTGATCAAGTCCTTGGCGCCGTCGCTGCGCTCGGGGGTGGGCGGGAAGCGGAGGTCGACGCGCAGGATGCGCTTGTAGGTCTCGCTGTGCCCCGCGGCCTCAAACGGCGGCTGGCCATACAGGAACTCGTAGCACAGCACGCCCTGCACGCGGCAGGGTGGAGGAGGGGAGGGGCAAGAGGGCGTGCCAGGGGTTGAGGCACACGGGAGGGAGCAGGGGAGTGGACTGAAAACCACCGCCTCGGGACTGCAACTGAACACACCAAGCAGATCAGCCCCGCCTCGTGATGGCCCCAGCCGGCCCCCAGCCTCGACCGCCGCCGCTGCCGGGCCTGCCAGCAGAAGTGTGTGCCAGCAGCAGCGTCTGCCGGCAGCGGCAAGGGCAGCGGCAGGGGCAAGCCACCCACCAGGCTCCACACATCCACCGCAGCATCGTGGTAGTTCCCCTCCACCATCTCCGGGGGCAGGTAGTCCAGCGTGCCGCACAGCGTCTTGCGCCGGCTGTTGGGCGCGTGCACCGACCTGCGGGCAGGCGGGAGTGGCGGCGGCGGCGGGGGGGCACGCTCAGGCACGAGGCGCAGCGCCCACTGCTCAGCGCTGCCCACTGCGGTGCAGGCGCATCCGCGCCCGCCTGCGCTGCGCCCTTCCCTTGCTCCTCCCACACGCCTGCCTTCCACAACTCACCCCAGGACCCCCCCTGCCCCAGGCAAACCCAGCCCAACCCCTCCGCCTCCTGCTCCTCCCAGCCTCCCTAGAAAAGAAAGCCCACCAGGCCAGCCCCCCCACCGGGCTATAGCCACCCACCAGCCAAAGTCTGCGATCTTGAGGTCGCCGTTGAGCCCCAGCAGCAGGTTCTCGGGCTTGATGTCTCGGTGGATGACGTGCTTGGCGTGGCAGTAGGTCAGCGCCTTGGCCAGGCTGGCCACGTAGGTGGCGGTGCGCCGCTCGTCAAAGCTGCCCGCGCGCTGCGGCAGGCAGGCAGGCAGGCAGGCAGGAGGCAGGCAGGCACGTAAGAGAGGTGGGAAGGGGCTGGGGCAAGGTGCCACCGGCCCAGCGGACGCAGACGCAGACGCACCGCGCAGCGGCAAGCAGGGCGGCTGCCTGCCTCCCGCAGCACCCCGCCCCAACCCTGCTGCCGCGGCAGCAGCTGCTGCCGCTGCTGCCGCCCGCAGCCCGTGCCAGCCATCCGGCGCCTGCCCCGCCGCCGCGCTTTCTTGCCCGCCGCCGCGCTTTCTTCCCCGCCCCCCCCCTGCAGCTCCTTGTACAGCTCCCCCCGCGCCGCATACTCCAGGATCAGGTAGACGCGCGTGTGGTCATAAAAGTAGCCGTAGAGGCGCAGGATGTTGGGGTGGCGCAGGTGGGACTGGATCTCGATCTCGCGCCGCAGCTGGTGCTCCACGTTGGACTGCTGCAGCTGGTTCTTGAACAGCACCTGCAGGCGGGTGGGGTGTGGTGTGGACAGTGCAGCAGGCTTCGGTGGCAGGCACGAGCGCGTGGTATGAGGGAGCGCAGGCGCGGGCTGGGCGAGGGGTGGGGGCGGCAGCAGGCAGGAGGGGAGCACAGGAGGCACGGCAGGCGGCGGCGGACGTGCGGCTGGCGCGAGCGGCGGCGGCGCACCCAGGCGCACGCACGCGTGCCAGCCGGGTGCTGAACAAGGACGCGGGCAGACAGCCATGTCCCACCCCATGCAAACCAGCAGCACCCAGCCAGCCAGCAGATCCGCCACACGCAAGCAGCCCTTGCCCGCACCTTGAGAGCCACAATGAACTTGCTCTTGCGCTCGCGTGCCAGGTAGACGTTCCCAAACTTGCCCCGCCCCAGCGGCTTGCCAATGTCAAAGTCGGTGAGCTGCCATCGCCGCACCATGGCGGCCCCGCTGGCAGAGCGCTCACGGCTGGCGCCGCTGGCCTCGGCGCCGCTGGCTGGGCGGGAGGAGGTGGCAACGCGCGGCGGCGGCGGGCCCATGGCGCCCGGCTTGGTGTTGTCGGAAAACGAGGGCGGCGGCGCGGGCCCCGCGGCCGTCTGCTGCACGCCAAGCACGTTTGCGCTCAGCGGCTGCAGGGCTGACTTGCGCGGCAGCTTGGCAGCGCCACCGTCGGCGCCGTCGCCCAGCGGGCGCTTCCCCGCCAGTTTGCCGTCCATCGATTTGCCGGCCGGCACCCCCACATTCTCCTGCAGCGTCAATTCGGCAGTGAGGAGGCGCTGAAGCCGGCAGGAGCGCCCGGCAACACCGGCCAATGTTGCCCGTTGGCAACAGCCAGGAGGCGCTGGAGTGGCTGGGACGGCTGGGACCGACCGACCACAGTCCTACCTTGTCTAGGAGGGCCGCAGCCACGCCAGCGCTGGGCATGCTGTCCCCCAACGGTGGGCTGTTAGATCGCTGCCGAGCTCCCAGCTGACCTCCCGCTGCTCCCAACACGCTCCCACTACCGAGTGCTATACGTCCAAGCTGCAGGCGAGGATGGAAAGCGCAGCCTGCGGGAAGGGCGGAGGCCGAGGTGGCAGCGAAGTACAGACCAGTGTACTGTCTGGGCCAAGCTTGCCCAGGCGGGCTGCCGCCGTGTCAGCAGCTTTGCAATTGCAACTGCCTTATCTCGGCATCGCCTCAGCGTCTGCACGCCCACCAGCTGCGAAAACTCTCATGGCGGCGTAGGCTGGAGGCAGCAGGTTGGGTACTGGCAGTTGCAGGACTGTCAATTACGTCAACATCCTCCAAGCAGCCCGGCAGAGCGGGCAGGCAGCAGTGGCAGCCGCCCGCCCTCTGGGCTGGGTTGCAGGCGAGGCTTGATTTAGGACGAGTGCATGTCATCCAGCAGCTCCAAGAGCTCGCAGGCCCGCCTGCGGGAGGCGCTGACGGCTGGCGCGCCTGCAGCAGCAAAAGGGCCCCCAGTTGCTGATGGCGTGCTCTCCGTCACCCCAGACACCGCCGAGGCGATAGAGTGGAGGAGCAGGCAGTCGGTGGTGGACCGCATCGCCGCCTGCTCCTCCTTCCTCGAAGACGACGACGAGGGTGAGGCGCGCCGCCTGCCTGCACCCCGCCAGGCAGCGCTGCCCTCCCTGCAGCGGGAGCTGCCGCGGCGATTGCAGGCGTGCACCGTTGGGCCAAGCGCAGCCGCGGTTGGCCGCTCGCAGCAGCACAGGACGCGCCGGCGACGCCTCCTGCTCCCCGCCGCCGCTTGCCCGCCGCAGGCCCCCAGACCGAGGAGCTGTACGGCAAGTTCACTTGGAAGCTGGAGAAGTTTGGGGAGAACGGCAAGCGGGAGCTGCGCAGCAACATGTTTGAAGTGGGCAGCTACAAGTGGTGCGTGAGAGCCGGGCCGCCGCTGCTGCGTGGCGCCTGCGACGCGGGTGCTGCCGCGGATGGCTCGCTATGCTGGCGGCTGCCAGGCCCTGCGCCGCTGTTTGCTGGATGGCTTCAGCGTGCCGTTGCAAGCAGGCCGCACACGTGGGTGCAGGCTCTGTCCTGCACCCTGGTACCAACCGGCGGTGCTGCGGTACCGCCTGCAGGTACCTCCTCGTCTACCCGCACGGCTGCGACGTGGCCAACCACCTCTCCCTCTTCCTCTGCGTCGCTGACTACGACAAGCTGCTGCCCGGGTGGAGCCACTTTGCGCAGGTACCAGGCGCAGTGCCGGCGCCGCCGCTGCTCGCCGCCGCGCGCATGCGGCGCCGCCGGGGCGGGCTGCCGTCTGCCTGCGGGGACTAGGGTGCTGGCTGGATTGGGCCCGTGGGCTGGCTGGCTCGGGGAGATGCTGCGCGGAGTTGCTGCTGCGCCTGCCCATGCGTCCCGTGCGCCCGCGGCCACCCTGCGCGCCCCACCCCGCCCCGCCCCGCCCCTGCAGTTCACCATTGCCGTGGTCAACCAGGACCCAAAGAAGTCCAAGTACAGCGACACGCTGCACCGCTTCTGCAAGAAGGAGCACGACTGGGGGTGGAAGAAGTTCATGGAGCTGAGCAAGGCGCGGCGCGCCGCCTGCCAGGGCTGCAGCCTGCGGGCCGCCTGCCGGGGCTGCTGCTTGTTGTCCAGAGATAGGCTCTTGTGCTGTTGCGCATTGGTTGTGGGGACACCAGCGCGGCGCGGAGTTGGCTGGAAGGCCCCCAAAGCGCCTGCCGGGCTGCTGGCTGGCTGCCAGCTGGGTGGGGCTGCTGGGTGCTGCTCGCCAGCCTGGGTTTTCGGCAGACCCGCCTGCCTGCCTGCCTGCCTGCCTGCCTTCCTGCCTGGGCTGTGGCCTGGCTGCAACCTGCTCCCCGCTGCGCCCTGTGTGTGTGCAGGTGCTGGATGGCTTCACATTTGACGACACTCTGGTGATCAAGGCGCAGGTGCAGGTCATCAGGTGGGTGGGCACCAGGCAGAGCCCATGGACGTGACAGCTGCCCGCCCCTGTGTGTCCTGCTGCCGCCGGGAGCCGCCACCGCGTGCTGCCGCCGTGGTGCGCGGCACCGGCTGGCGGCGCAGGCCGCCACGCGTGCCCTTTTGCCGAGTCCGGCCTGGCGGACCCCTGCTGTGGCGCTCCGTGCAGGGACCGGCCGCAGCTTCCCTTCAGGTGCCTGGATGGGCAGTACCGTCGGGAGCTGGTACGGGTGTACCTCGCCAACGTGGAGGGCATCGCGCGGCGGTTTGTGGAGGAGAAGAAAGAATATCTGCAGCGGCTGCTGGAGGAGGGCCGCGGCTTCAAGCAGTTCTGGCGCCGCCTGAAGCCCGAGCGGCAGCGCCAGCTGGCGGCGGCGCCGGCGCCCGCGGTGCTCAAGGTGCGCCCGCTGTGGCCGGCCCGCCTTGGCCGGCCGCGCCGCGGCTCCCCAGCAGGCCCTCGCCGTAGTCCCGGCCGCCGCCCGGGCGCTGGCCAGGCCGCCGAGCAGGCATCCGCCGGCCGCCGTGCCACGCCTCGCTGCCCAGCCTGCTGGCTTTGGCTGGGCCCTGGCGTGCCGCCGGGCCTGCCTGCTGGCTCTGCTGGCCCCTCGACTTGGCCTTACTGGCGGCAGTCACGACGGTCGGCGCCGCGCTTTCCTCAACCCTAATCCCTAACGAAAACTGGAGGGTGCGTTGGCCTGCAGGGCGTGGTCAAGCGCTTCTTCAATGAGAAGGAGGTCACCTCCACCCTGGTGATGGATGCCCTCTACTGCGGCACTAAGCTTCTGGAGGAGGTGGGCCGCTGCCGCCTGGAGGAGCAGGGAGGCGGCGGCGGCGGCGGCGGCGGCGGCGGGGAGCCTGCGGGCGTGCTCCTCGACGCCAAGCGCGGCCTCTTCTTCTTCGCGGGGGATGCCGTCAGGTGCGGCGGACGTGCCGGCTGCGTGGCGGCCTGTGCGCTGCTCGCGAGTGGGAGTGGGATGGGAGGGAGGGCGGGGCGGGCATGTCGGGTACACACACACACACACAGTCTGGGGCGCAGCCGCACGCCGCGGGGAGTCCTAAAGGGTGTAGCTCAAGTGCCCTTGGCTTGGCGCCGCGTTCGCTGCCGTGCAGCATCCTGGAGCGCGCGCTCGCCGACGTCATCCCCCCCTTCCAGTCCGACAAGCAGCAGGGGGAGCTGCCGCTGCGAACGGCGCAGGTGCGGCGCGGCCGGGGGCCCGCGTGCCTCCGCCTACCGCTGCTCCTTCGCTGTTGGGGGGATGCACCCGCCAGCCGTCGGCGCTCATTCCATCACCCACCCACCTGCTGTTTGGCCTCTCGCGTGACTGCCATTGACCCCAGCCAACACACCATTTGCCCCGCCCCGCTCCCCCGTGCCCCCGCAGGAGGCTGGCGAGTGCAGCCGCGACGCCATTGAGCGCGACGAGTGGCGGCTGGCAGACCTGGGGCGGCGCTGCGTGGAGATGTTTGCCGCCGCGCACATCGCCGCCACACACATGGAGGTGGGTGCTGGGGGTCTGGGGCTGGGGCTTGGGGGTGCCGGCTGCAGGCTGCAGGCCTGGCTTCGTTGGGCAGAGGAGGCCCAGGAGGGTGTTTGGTGGCAGGGGACGGCCTTGCCCCAGCCCGCCGCCGCTGCCGTGCCTGGCCTTGCGTTCATCCCACCTCCCCGCCTGCCCCTTTCTTTTAACAACAACAGTCTATTGACAACAAGAAACATACTGCCTGCCCCACAGGCTGCGCATCAGGAGGCGGAGGTCATCAAGCGGCAGGAGGCATTGCTGTTTGAGGAGGAGGAGCGGGAGCGGGAGGAGGGCGCGCGGCAGGCGGCGCGGGCCGAGGCGGAGCGGGAGCGGCGGGCCAAGAAGAAGGAGCGGGCCAAGCGGAAGAAGGAGGCGGAGCGGGTGAAGAAGGAGGCGGGTGAGGCGGCGGCGGCGCGTGGTACTGCGTGTGTACTGCATGTGTACTGCCTGTGTACTACGTGTGTACATCTGCATCCACCTGCCCGGCTGCCCGGTCCGGCTATAGCCAGGGCCGGTGTGGGCTGCTGTCCAGGCCGCGACCTGCTGCGACCTGCTTGGCGAGGTGCCGTGGGTGTTGCTGATGGGCCCGCTGCTGCTTGGCTGGCTGGCTGGCCGCTTGCTGCTGCAGAGGAGGCGGAGCGGCAGCAGCAGGAGGAGGCGCGCCGGCTGGAGCTGCTGCGCAGGCACCAGGAGGCAGAGGAGCGGCGCAGGTGCGGCGCGCCAGGGCGACGAGCTTGCTGCTGCTGGCGCCGCTTTTGGCTTTTGCTCCGTCACGGACGATGTCATGCGTAGGGTGGCGGGCCTGTGGTCCCCGCCGCCTGCGCTGCGGCATGCCCCCGGCGCACTGGCGCGCTCCGAAATGCAGGGAAGAGGCGCTTACGCTCCCTAAACCCTGAAAACCGTGTTTGCGCTCTCCTCCTGCCCGCAGGAAGGAGGAGGCGGAGCGGGAGCAGGACCTGGTGCGCCAGCGGGCTGCCGCCAAGCAGGTGGCAGAGGCCAAGCGGCAGCAGCAGGAGGCGGCGCGGCGCGCCAGGAAGCAGCAGGAGGCGGCGGCGGCGCGCCACCAGCAGCAGCAGGCGGCCGAGGAGGCGGCGGCGGCGGCCGCGGAGGCCGCCAGCAGCAGCCGCAGCAGCAGCAGCTGCGGCAGCGAGGGCGCGGCTGCAGGGCCCGCGCCGCTGAGTAGAGCGCTGTCGGAAGCGTCGGACGGCGGGGCGGCGGCTGGGCCGGGGCCCTCTGCCCGCGGTGGCGGCGGTTCCGCCGGGACCCTCACGCCCCCCAGCGCACCCAGCTCGCGGGCCGCCACCCCAGAGGCAGGCAGCCTGGCGGCCGCTGGCAGCCTCGCGGCCGCGGCGGCCGTGGCGGCGGCGGCCGGCGGTCGGGCCGGCGATGGCGGCGGCGGCGGCGGCGGCGACACCCCCGCCGCGGCCTCGCTGCTGACAGAGGACTCCAGCCTGCTCAGCGCGTCCTCGGACATCGGCAGCGAGGTGTCGGAGGCGGAGGAGGAGGCAGAGGCGTTGCGGCGCCAGCTGGCGTGGATGGAGTCCCGCCTGGCGGCCAAGGACGCGCAGCTGGCGGCGCTGCAGGCGCGGGTGGGGGAGCTGGAGGGGCAGCTGGCGGCGTCGGCCGCCAGCTCAGTGGCCGCCAGCTCAGCGGCTGCCAGCTCAGCGGCTGCCAGCTCAGCCGGGGCCGGCTCGCGGCCCGCCTCGGCCGCCTCGCTGGCATCGCACCACCGCCGCAGCTCTTCGGCAGACCGCCCTCTATCGGCTGGCAGCGACCCGGGGCCTGCAGAGGCCAGGGCAAATGGCCTGGGGCCCCTGGGGGCTCACGGCTCCGCCGCGGCGGCTTCGGGACGCGCGCCCGCCATGCCAGCCCACAGCCACAGCCCACCAGGCCCCGCCCCGGCCGCCGCCGCCGCCGCCGCCGCCGCCGCCGGCCAGCGCCTGCCGCCGTCGCAGCAGCAGGCGCCGCGGGCGGCGGCCGGGGCCGCGGCGGCGGGCCGACACGCGCAGCACGCTCAGCAGCCGCTGTCGGCGGCGGCCGCGCTGCGGCAGCAGGGCTCGCCCTCGCTGGCGCGCGGGACCGGCGGCGCGGCAGGCATACCCATGAGCATGAACCCCGCCGCACAGCAGGTGGGGAGGCGGGCCCTGCCAGCCACATCGATCATGCATGCCTCACATCTGTGTGCCGCACCGTGCATGTGCTTGGGCGCCCGCCAGCCCGCCCTTCCCGGCACACCGCCCCTCTGCATGCCTCACACCGGCTCCTCCCCCCCTCCCTCCTCCCTCTCCCTCCCTGCCTGCCTGCCCACAGTTCAATCCCGCCGGCAGCAGCTTTGGCGGCCCCAAGCACACGGGGTACGCGGCTGCGGCAGCGGGCGAGCCCGCGGGCCCGCCGCCGGCCAACGGCGCCGCCACCTACCGCAACGCGGTGATGAGCGCCAGCCTGGCGGCCGCCATGTCATCGCTCGGCATGGGCAGCGGCAGCGGCGGCTCAGCGCCCCCGCGCGGCGCGCCCAGCGGTGGCAGCAGCGGCCGCAACAGCGTGGACGGCATCGGCGGCTTGGTGGCCAATGGCGGCGGCGGCGCGGCCGCGGGGCCCGGCACCAGCGGCACCAGTGCCAGCGGAGAGGGCCTGTACGCCCGGCCGCCTGCGGTGGTGCTGCCACGGGAGGCGGCAGGCAGCTTCACCAGCCCGCTGCCCGGCGGCGGCAGCAAGCGGCCGGTGGATGTGCCGGCGGCGGCGCTGGAGTCGCCCGGCTTTGACGACTTTGCACACATGGGCCTCATTTCTGATCTGCTGGAGTGAGGGCCGTCGGCTGGACAGCCGGTTGTGTGGCGAGTTTGCTGCGCAGCCGGTGTGATGGCCCAGCTTAGCTCCCCTCCCGGCAGACACACACGTCAGCGCCAGCCAGCCCTGCCGCTGCTTGTGCCAGCCTGGCCGCGAGCCCGTGCTGAGCGTGCTGTCGCTGGGTGCCGCGCCGCGGCGAGGCAGGCCTGCCCAGGCTGCCGCCCATGTTTGTGAGTGGGCGGTGTGCTGCGACACTGGATACCCCACCCCCATTCTTTGGTCCCAAACCCTTCCCTTGCTTCGACCTGGTCTTGATAACCTGCTACCCTGCCGTGGTATGAATTTACTTGCCGTGCTATCTTTGTATTAAGCAGTGCTGACCCCTTCTTGCTCCGCCTTGCGCCGGCTTGCTGCCTGCCTTGCTGGCTCCCCTTTACCGCCGACCCTTTCTGCCACCCAGCCTCTCCCCCACTGTTCTTCCACCACAACCACCGACCTGCCCTTGAGAGGCAGCTGCTGCCGAACACGTGCCAGCGCCTCTTGCTGCCCAGTAAACACCCCACCAACAGCGCCTGCCCGCCACCAGAAGAGTGGCCCGGGGCTGGGCCCACCTGGCGAGGCGCACCCCCGACCGCCACGCTGCCAGGGCTTCCACCAGCTGGCGCTGCCAGGGACGCTGTTCACTGTACTGCAACTGTACTGCACTGCGCTGTTCGCACAGGGTCCTGGAGAGCTATCGGTGCATGCCTGGGCTGCCAGAGGTGATGTGTTACATCCCTACCGAGGGGATGCTGCCGCAAGGTGTCAGCTGCCGCGAGGTGTTAGCTGCCGCCCTACTTCTTGGCCGCCATCTTGCGCAGCAGCGCCGACATCTCCTCGCGCTTGGCCTTGCCGCGCTTGTGGGTGCCCAGCTGCAGGCGGGGGCAGGGGAGGGCAGGCCGGCCGGGGTCGGTTTTCAGCGACATGGTGCGCAGCTGGCAGCGGCAGCGGGCAGAGGAAGGCTGCTGTGGTGCCGCAGCGGGACCGCATGTGTGCAGTGTTCGCACGGGGCAGCGTTTGCTGCTGGGCACCACGCTGGGCTGCACGCTTCCAGCTGTGGGTGGGCAGCCTGCTGCTGCTGGTCGGGCACCAAACGGCTTGCGCCAGCCCTGGCTGGTGCGCCGCTGGCGGCCACCGCGCCACGCCTGCAGCTCCAGCCTGTCCTGGATGCCGCCTGTGGCATGCCGCTGCGCAGCTGCGTGCATGTGCCGCCTCCCTCCGGCTGCCGCCCTCCACCCAGAAAAGCGCCGCCAGCTGCCATCGCGCTGCTCCCTGGCACTGGCCCCGCCGGCCATTGCTGCGGCTGGTACGGCCAGGCTGGGCGTGCGCTGCCGTATATGCAGCAGCGCCATCGGCGGCGGCCACCAAAAAACGCGGCACCAATAGCAAACGATGCAGCAGCAGCAGCAGCAGCAGCAGCAGCAGCAGCAGCATGGCGCAGCAGCAGCAGCAGGACAGGGGGCAAGCCGCAAAGCAGGGGTGGGCCTCACCTTCCGCTTGGCCACCTTGAGCGCGCGCTTGTCCCTGCCAACCTTCAGCAGCTCCATAAGGCGCTTCTCATATGGCGCCTGGCCAGCCACCTCGCGCACAATGTCGCGCACCAGCTTCACGCGCTTGGACTGACGCTGCAGTGGGGGCGAGGCAGTGGCGTGCGCAGGGCAGGGTGGGCGGGGGCGGGCGGCGGGGAGGCGGCAATCGGCTGCTGCCGCGCCTGCGGGGCTGCCGGCGCTCCAAAATGCCAGCCGCGGGGGTTTCGACGTGCTGCGGCCTGCCAAACAGGCCCCAGGCCGCATCGGCTGCATGGGGGCCGCCGCTGGTAGGGACGCCGCAGAGGCGCTGTCGTGCCTCCCAGAGGCTCTTGAAATCACTATTGGCATCATAGGGCCCGCCGCCGCCGTGCTGGTGCGCCGCCCCGGCTGCCAGACCTCAATCCCGCCCTGCATGCCGCTCTGCAGCGAGACTCACCCCCTTGCGGCTCGCCGGACGTACGGCCTTCTCCTTCTTCGTCACAACATGGCCCTTCTGCAGGCCCACGGCGATGCCTGCGCGGCCAGACATGGTTGCTACGGTCTCCCAGGCGGCCAGGTGAATGCACGGGGCCGAAAAGGACCCGCCCAGGCGCCTGCCAGCAGGTTTGGGGCCGGTGGCTCGGGGCGTGCCTTCTACCCCGACCCAGCCCACCCCGATGCCTGGAGCGCAGCCATCGCCCCCCGCGACGCACTTGAGCTGCTACTGTGGATCCATACCGCTCATCGCCGCACAGCAGCGCCGCCCAGCCTAACATGTCCACCGCCCTGGTGCAGCAGCAGGTTGCCAAGTGCAGCGTGCAGCGCGCATTCTTCACCCGCAAGCCCGTGGCGGCCCGTGCCGCTCGTGTGTGCGCCATGGCGCAGCTGGACCAGGATGAGCTGAAGAAGCAGGTGGGTGGGCCGCCGCCGCCGCCGCGGCCCGCCCGGCGGCGCCGCCTCCGCCTGCCCGCCTCCCGCCGGCCGCGCCAGCCCCGCCGCGCTTCCCCCGGCGTCCCCGAACTCTCTTCCTGCTCCTTTCCTCCTCCTTCCCAGGCCGCCTGGAAGGCTGTTGAGTATGTGAAGAGCGGCATGGTGGTGGGCCTGGGCACGGGCTCCACCGCCGCCTTTGCCGTCGACCGCATCGGCTCCCTGCTGAAGAGCGGCGAGCTCACGGACATTGTGGGCGTGCCCACCTCCGTGCGCACCTACGAGCAGGCCAAGAGTGAGGCTCGCCTGCTCGCCTTCTGGCCAGCGGCCGGGGCTCCGGAGCAGCGCGGCTGGGATGCGGAGCAGCGGAGCGCCTCTGCAACTCGGGGCCAGCAGCGGCTGCCACCGGCCCTGCGAGCCTGGGCACAGCGGCAGGCACAGGGGCGCGGGCCCGCGCCCTGAGCAGCAGCCGCAGCCGCAGCGGGCGACCTGGCCCAGGGCGCCTGGCCGCCCGCTGCGGCTGCGGCGGGCGGCCAGGCGCCCGGCTGCGCCGGGCGGCCTGGCCCAGGGCCGCTGCGCAGTTGCCCGGCCCACAGCCCGCTCACAGCCCCTGGCCGCCGCCCTCCCTCCCTGCTGCCTTCCCCCAGGCCTGGGCATCCCTCTGGCCACCCTGGACGAGCAGCCCAAGCTGGATGTTGCCATCGATGGTGCTGATGAGGTGGACCCTCAGCTGGATGTGGTCAAGGGCCGCGGCGGCGCGCTGCTGCGCGAGAAGGTGCGCGGCGGCGGCGGCGGCGGGGGAGTCGGGAGGGGCCCGGCACGCCGCTCCCGAGCCGGGCGGGGACGGGCCGGTGCTCCCGAGGCCCGGCGGCAGCGTCGCTTGGGCGGGCCTGCCGTGCCCCGCCCGCACACTCCCAAGCGCACGGGCACACACTCACACACACACATCCCACCCTTCCCCAACCTACAACATGCCGTGCCGCTCCTCGCCGACCCCCACGCCCGCACCCTCCGCCCCGCGCCGCAGATGGTTGAGATGGCCAGCGCCAAGTTTGTGTGCATCGTGGACGACTCCAAGCTGGTGGAAGGGCTGGGCGGCTCCAAGCTGGCCATGCCCGTGGAGATTGTGCAGTTCTGCCACAAGTACACACTGGCGCGCCTGCAGGCGCTGCCAGAGGTGGCCGGCTGCGTGGCCAAGCTGCGCATGGAGGGTGAGCGGCGGCGGCGGCGGCGGCGGCGCGCTCCCTTCCTTGCTTTGTTGCGTGCAGCAGGGCCTGGCGGTGGCAGCGGTGTGGCTTGCGTTTGGGCGCGGAGCGTTTTTGTGTTTAGGAGCTGGGTGTAGCGCGTCGCTGTGCCTTGAATGCCTGCTGCTGTCCCTTGAGCCTGCCTGGCATGCCTGCTGCTGCCCCCCGAGCCTGCCCGGCATGCCACCTGTTGCCCCCTGCCGCAGGCGACGCGCCATATGTCACCGACAACAGGTGCGTGGGCGGCGCGAGGGGCAGGGCGGCAGCCAGCTGCCGGCAGCTGCCGCGTCCTCCACCTCCCACCCCCACCTCCCACGCCCCCACAATCACCTGCCCGGCCCGCACCACCTGCACCCCGCTGCTGCCCCCTTTCCCCCTACATCGCCGGCCTGCCTGTCCGTCCCCACCCGCCGCCTCGCCGCCCCTCTGCCTCAACCACATTGTTGTTGCTGCAGCAACTAAATTGTGCCCTCTGCCACGCCTGCACTGCTGCAGCAACTACATCGTTGACCTGTACTTTGAGACCCCCATCCCCGACTCCCAAGCCGCCTCCGCCGCCATCCTGGCGCTGGAGGGCGTGGTGGATCACGGCCTCTTCCTCGACATGGTGGACGTGTGCATCATCGCAGGCAGCAACGGCGTGGAGGTGCGCGGCTGCAGCATCCCTGGGGTGTGGGCGGCGGGGTGGCGGGGTGGGGGGAGGGTGGTGGGCTGGCCCGCGCGGGCGCCAGCAGGCGGACGGTGGCAGGCGGCGACAGGACGGCTGCGCGCGACACGTGGCGAGCTGCACAAGCGCACGCCCATAGCCCGAGGGTGCTGGTGTTGCTTGAGCGGGAGCTGGCACCCAGCATGAGCGCCTGCTGCCCGCCACCCTCGCTCCGCAGGTCAAGGAGCGCCCCAGCCCCAAGAAGTGAAGCTGCCCTGCGAGACGTGAGCGCAACCAGGCTTCCTGGAGCAGCAGCAGCAGCAGTAGCAGCTCGCGCCGTGCCCGGCACCATTCTTTGCACAACACTGTTTTTTATTCCCTGCCGCCCCCTCCTGTTCATCCCTCTCTTTCGGTCACCCTGCCAGGTGTTAATCCTCTGAGCTCAGGCCACACCAGCAAGGATTGCCGTGACGCTGCTGGCAGTGAGGCTACAGTGGTTGGGATCAAGACGCCGCACACCAGGGGACACAGCGTGGTAGTTGCAAGAGCCTCGCACACAGGCGCATTGGGGCAGGCTGGCATATCAGGCCAATCAGGCCATACGAATGCAAAAGATGGGGGCGAGCGGTCAAAGCTGGCCGTTTGCGCTGGCAGGGGCGCTTCCTCGCGGCTGCGACTGGCATGCCCCTGAAAAACAAGAATCGGCCCCAGAAAACAGGAATAGGTAAAGCTCAGGCAAGTGTACCAGACAGAAGCAAGGGCAACGGAGCAGCGTGGACAGGGGGTGCCGCGCGTGCACTGTCGGCGCGGCGGGAGGGTTGAGTGCGGTGTGGCAGGTAGGAGTACTTAATATCAGCGAGTGGCTCTCAGGGTGGGTGGGTAGGTGGGTGGGTGGATAAAGTTTCCTTGGGCGCCGGCGCCGGGACATCACCGCTGCAGAGGGGGCGCAGGAGGGCACAGAGCGGGTCAGCAGAGTGCCGGCCACACAGACAAGCGGGATACAGGCCCGAAAAGCGACGTGCGCCTGTTTGCTATACACAGCGGCGCATGCCCTCCCTCTCGCACAAGCTAGCCACGCAGGGCCCCCCCCAGCCTCCCGCCCGAGAAGCACTCACCGCGCGCTGCTGCCGGCTGTTGTTCAGCAGGCTGCTCAGCGTGTCCAGCGTGCTCTTGGTGGCCCTCAGCTTGGCCTGGCTGCGCTCAAACTCGCGCTGGGCGGCCTGCGCCTCGGCCTGCTGCGCCGCCAGCTTCTTCTGCAGCTCCTCGTACCGCTGCTGCGGCGACTGGCCGGTCAGGCTGCAGGCGGGGCGCGGCAGGGGCCGGGAGGGACGCGGGAGGAGGGATGCACGGGGTCAGGGGCATGCTTTGCAGGCTTGGGCCGGCCGATTTGACTTGGCAGGCACCGCTCAGGCAGGGGAATCGCAGTGAACGGCGCCACCACGTCAACTCCCAGGCACAGCAGGGCATGGCAAGCCGGCGGCATCAGAGGCCGGAGCAGCAGCGGCCCAGGGGCCCACCCGCCTCACCTGCTGATAATCGCCTCACGGGGGCCCGGCAGCAGCGCGGCCGCAGCCACCAGCACGCCGCCGGCCGCAGCCACCAGGCCGCTGTTGGCGGTGAAGCGGGCGATGGCGCCGGTCAGCGCTGCCTGCTCCGCCTCGCCAGGCTTGGCTGAGTTGAGGCTGGCCGCCAGCCCGGCAGCCAGCTCCTTGGCTTGGTCTGCAGCACTGGGGCCCTCCTCCTGCACAGCCAGCAGCGGCAGGGGCGCGACAGCCGCCGAAAGGATAAGAAAGTGGCGTCCCGGCCGCATGCGGGGCGACGGGGCGCGGCACGAGCGGCGCTGCAGCTGCGGGCAGACGGGCCGCAGGCGTAGCCATTGCACCAGCCCACTCCCTTTTCACCTTGGGCTTAGCCGCCGCCGCCACAGCCGGCTGCGGCTTGGCGGCCGCGGCGGCAGCGGCAGGAGCAGGCTCCGTCTTCTTGGGCTCGGGTGCAGGTGCGGGCTTGGGAGCCGCCGCAGCTGCCACTGCTGGCGCCGGGGGTGGTGCAGGGGCGGCGGGCTTGGCAGCATCGGCCACCTGCACACAACCACAGCACACCCATGGACGCGCAGTGGAGGCTACGGTCAAGAAAGGTTTGCCGGGAGGGGCATAGCAGGCCAGCTCAAAAACCACGCACACAGACCAGCACTGCAGGCGCACCTTTGCAGCTGCAGCAGCGCCGGCTGCAGCAGCCGGCGCTGCAGTCGGTGCAGGAGCGGGCGGCGGCGCCTTGGCAGCCGGTGGCGGCGCCGCCTTCTCGGCTGCCGCGGGCTCCGGCTTCTTGGCCTCCTCGGCCTTGGCTGCCGCCACAGGCGCAGGCTTGGGCTCGGCAGCAGCAGGCTTCTTCTCCTCCGCCTGCAGCAGGCCCAACAGCAGCAGCCAGTGCCCTATTTGAGGGCTGCTCAGGCGGCCTGCCAAGGCGCACGCTAGCTGGCGACACATCCCAACCGCTCCCCAACGCGCCGCTACCTTGGGTGCCGCGGCAGCAGCCGGCTTGGGTGCCGCGGCGGCGGCCGGGGCGGCCTCGCTCTTCTCGACCTGCTCAGCCTGGGGCATGGCAGGGGCAGGCACACAGGGAGCACGGTGAGATGAGTGAGGCTGAGCAGCTCATGCAAGGCAGTTGTTGCCCCTACAGCTGCGCAGAGCCCCGGCTGCGGGCCTTGGCAGAATGCGGCGGCGCCAACTCCTCACCTTGGCCGCTGGCTTGGCTTCAGGCTTCGCCTCGGGCTTGGCTGCCGGGGCCGGCGCCACAGCGGCGGCCTTTGGAGGCTCCGCCTTTGCTGCAGGCGGCGGCGGCGGTGGTGCCTCTGCCTTGGGAGCGGCGGGAGCGGGCGGCTCCTCGAGCTTCACTGCATCCGCCTGCACTAGGTTGGTAGGCAGCAGAGGAGGCAGGCATGCAGCTGAGGTTGACAGCAGCTCAGCACTGCAAGCATGGGAGGGCATGGCGGTAGAGAGCAGCCCTACAACTGCGTGTGCCGGCTGTCCCGCCCGCAAAGGCTCGAAGCATGCCCAGGCATGCAGCCGCAGGCCGGCTCCCCGACCCGCAGGCGTGGGGCACACACAGCGCGCACCTTGGGCGGCGCCGGCTGCGACAGGCCGGGCCGCTGCAGCGCCTGCGGCAGCATGCGCAGGCTGTCCTTGGGCAGCAGGCTGTCTGGCGCCAGGAAGATGCCGGTCCCCAGCAGCGCCAGGGACGCCAGGGCGATACCCGACTGCAGCCACGGCACCAAGGCGGGAGAACAGGAGAGGTGGGGTCGGCGCCAACTCAGCGCTGCAAACACGCCGCCATCGGGGACGCCTGGTGCAGCGCGCTCCTCCAAACCTTTCCGCCCATGCTCTGCAACAATACGTGTGCCCCACACACACGGCATGCTTGCTGCGGACGCCGCTCGTCCCCCCGCTCACCCATCCCGTCTTGCCATCGGAGCCCTGCGCCGACTGAGGCAGGCCCGTGGAGGTACCACCCTGCAGGCACAGCATGCCCAGCGGGCAAAAAAGGCGTTGCTCAGCTGGTGGCAACCAAGCAGCAGCCGCTGGCCCCCGCAAACAAGAAAAGGACCAAGAGGCAGCGTGTTCCCGCATGCACGCGCAACCGCGGCTGCAGGTGTGCCCGCCCCGCTCACCGCGCCGCCGCCTGCGCCAGCGCCGGGCGCCGCCATCTGGCCCGTGCGCTTGCGCACCAGGAACTCCAGCTGCTCGGGGGAGCACTTGGCTGCCTCCTCACGGGTGATCAGGCCGTCTGCCACGCAGGCCTGGATCGTAGCTTCCAGGGAAGCCAGAAGCTCCTCCATCGGCCGCATGCCGTCATCGGACAGCGAGGCGGAGGAGAGGGAGAGGCCGGCGGCCGCGGCGCGCGGCACGGGGGTGCGGCTGCTCGGCCGCGGCGCGGGGCTGCGGCTGCGCCCGCGCCCGCGCTCCGACTGCGGCGGCGGCGAGGCGCTGGCCTCGCTGCGCTTGCGCTCCAGGAAGGCGCGCTGCTCGGGTGAGAGGCCCTCCATTGACGGCATGCTGGCGGCGGCAGGCGCGGGAGACATGCTGGAGCCCTGGCGCTTGCGCTCCAGGAAAGCCTGCTGGTCAGGCGTCAGACCCGCAGGCGCAGGCGCGCTGCTGGCTGCGGGGAGTGGCGCAGGCCGGCTGGAAGGCCGCGGCACGGGGCTGCGGCTGCGCCCGCGCATCGGCGCCGCGGGCGGCGGCGAGGCGCTGGCCTCGCTGCGCTTGCGCTCCAGGAAAGCCTGCTGCTCCGGGGTCAGGCCTGCCATGGCCGCCGGATTGCTTCCAGCGGCAGGTGCAGGGGCGGGAGACGTGCTGGAGCCCTGGCGCTTGCGCTCCAGGAATGCCTGCTGGTCAGGCGTCAGGCCCGCCACCGGGGAGGCCGAGCTGCCGCTGCTGCTGCGGGAGGGCGGGGTGCTGCTGCCGCGGCGCGGCGCCGGGCTGCGGCCTCGGCTGGGCGCAGCGGGGGCCGGCGAGGCGCTCGTCTCGCTGCGCTTGCGCTCCAGGAATGCCTGCTGCTCCGGGGTGAGCCCCGCGGCCGGGCTGCTGCTGCCGACGGCGGCAGCGGGAGGGCGGCTGGCGGGGCGGCGCGGCGCCGGGCTGCGGCCCCGCGCTGGCACGGCCGGGGTGGGGGAGGCGCTGGCCTCGCGGCGCTTGCGCTCCAGGAACTCCTGCTGCTCTGGGGAGAGGCCGGCGGCGGCGCCGGGGACGATGGTGGTGCCGTTGCTCAGGGACTGCGCGCCGGGGCTGGCCGACGCCGAGCGCTTGCGCATCAGAAACTCCAGCTGGTCAGGCGTGTACTTGGCGGCCTCCTCCTTGCTCATGGTGCCGTTCATGACGCCCTGGGCGCTGACCTGCGCGAGCGGTGGGAGCGGGTGGTGCAGCAGGTCAGGGGTGGGGTGGCGGCAGCGCAGGGTGGCGGCGCCGCGTGGGTGGCCCAACCCGCGCGCTGGGGACAATGTGCCAGGCGCCGGTCAGAGACGCAACCGATGGCTGCGCGGAGGGCACGGCAGGCCGCCCAAGACGCGCACAAACGGCGAGGAGCAACCGCCCGGATGTGGTCGGGCATTCGGCCGTGCAGGCGGCTGGACAGGTTTGTGACGCACCCTGACCCTCTGTGACGGCCGTCCCAGCGCCTGGCCCGCCCCCTGCCGCACCCCCCGAGGGGCCTGCGGCATCGACAACCCCACAGCGCTCTGCATTGCGGGCTTCGGGATCAGGCAGTGATGCACAGGTGCCTGATGGACGGATCAGCCCTGCCCGAGTCGGTGGCAAAGCGCCCCGGCCAAGCCCGGCCATCCTACCACCACGCATGCAGGGCGCGAAATGAACAACAGCCCTGGCTGGAACTACAGTCCTGGAGATGGGGAACGGGCGCAGATGCAGGATCGCAAGCATTGAACCATGGCAAGCGGCCGAGGGTGTCCAGGTGCTAGGTTGGCCGTTGGGCGGTGCGCGGCGGCGGCACCCCCCGCAGCCTGGCGGCATTCATTCATGCAGCCCATGCTGCACCCTGTTACAGTTGCTTGTTACAGCACCCGGGTAATTCATAGTGACGTCCTCTGCATCCCACCAAGTTGGTGCGCAGGAGGCAGCTCCCTGGGCCGCCGGCGAGGCGCCGCAGCGGGCGAACGCTCGCCTCGAGCCCGAGATGGGGCACCGGCAATTCATCAACACCAGGCCAGTATACATCAAGGTGGGTGTTACTGCTGACTGGGGCAGAGCTTTTGGCGTCCCCGGCATGGGCCACCTAAGCTGGGCACCCGCACAACATGGGCATGCATGGGGCACGCTGCGGCGGCACAGCAGGTGCGCCATCGCCGGCGGGAGACATCACTTGTCAATGGCACCCCGTATCCGTAATTGCCATTTATGACTATCAGCCTGCAAACACAGCTCATACCGAGCAAGCAGAGCCCGACGCCTGCTGCCCTCGACACCCTTGCGCAAGCTGCCCGACAATGAGCGTCTGTAGAGGACTTGCAGTGCTTACATTGCTCTCGCTCGCCTCAGGTATCGATCGGGCGGTTTTGGGCAGTTTTTTGGCAGGTTTTAGGCAGCCCGTGAGAGCCGCACCGCCTCCGCCCTCAGTACCTCAGCTCCGGCCGCCCCGACAGGTGGCCTGGGCGTGCGGCCGGGGTGCGGAAGCGCAAACCTCAACCCCTCCGGTCCCGCCCTGGCCAGCTGCCTCGCTGCCCGGCCCGCCACCAAGCGGTTGCCACCACCGCCCCATCGACCAGCCACCCACAGTGCCGCTTTGCTGGCTTGCCCGCGCCTGCAGCGCGTATGCTGGCGGTGGACCAGGAGCACACCTGTGAGGTCACGCTGCAGGAGGGAGAGGACCTGTGGACGGTGAGTTTGGGGCTGGGCAGCACCTCGCCCCGCTTTGCGGCGGCCCTGAGTTCTGCTGCCACAGCCTTCTCTGCGGCACGGCAGGCTGCGGGCCACAGCTGCTCCCGAGGCGCAGGGTCCGCTGCCTGCCTGCCTGTGTCCCTGCCGTGCCACCACCCCTCGGCACCTCCCCTCGCGCAACGCCGTGCGTGCCGCCCCCGCCCCCGCTGGTGCACCGCAGCTCTGCCAGAAGTTCCATCTCGACCTCGACCTGGTGATCGAGCTGAACCCAGAGTATGGAGAGCCGGGCCAGGCCCTGCGCGGAGCCAAAGTGCACGTGCCCTGCAGAGGTGCGCGGCGCCGCGGTCGCGTTGCACCATGCCGCCTTGCCACCCCCTGCTCGTCGCCTGCAATGCACATGTGCATGAGCAATGGGCAGCATCATCATCATCAGCAGCAGCAGCCTGCAATGCACATGTGCATGAGCAGTGGGGTGCCTCGTGGGGTGCCCATTGCTGACGGCGTTCCCGTGCGGCGCCTGCCTGCAGCCGATGGCACCCCCGCGCCACAGCAGCAGAGCGTGCAGCAAGAGCCGCCAGGGTCGTCAATTCCCTGCGAGTGTGAGCAAGCTGCTGTTGCTGCTGCCCCTGCGTTTGGTGTTCCATTTCATGCCACAGCTGCCATCTTGCGCTGTGCCCCGCTCTCTCGCCATGGCCACCTGCGAGCCTCGCTGAGCGCAGCCGCCTGCCATGCGTCGCCTACCCGCCTGCAGACCAGGTGACCAAGGGCGACACGCTGCCTGCAGTGGCCACCCGCTTCCGGGTGCCCTTCAGCCTCATGCTGTTCCTGAATCGGCAGTACGAGGGAAACTACGACGAGATCTACCCCGGCGAGACGCTGCTGCTGCCTTGCCGAGATTACCATTGGGGCGGGCCCGACGAGGGGTGGCACACACAGTAATGGTTGCCAGTTTGTTCGTATGATATCAGTTTTGGGGGCTGCTCAACACCCCGCACCCACGCTGCTGCGCCGCCCCTGCCGGCGTGCATTGCCCAAACACTGCTTCTGTTTTGCTCACCCTTGTTTGCTGGCAAAGCTTTTTATCGGCATTGATTTTTCCATTCACACATTGGCTTGTATCAGAGTATTTGAATGCAGGAAACACAAGCGCAGGTCAAGTTGGTCACAGAATGCGCCCCTTGGTTCAGGGGCAGCCCAGCTGTCGGCAGCTGGCCCGCAGTCAGCAGCTCAGGACCAGTTTACGTGCGTCTTTGTCCAGCCGTCAGATGTGCAGGGCGCAAAGGTGGTGGCTGCGGGCGCGGCCCTGAAGCAGGCGGGGGCGCTGAGGCTGGCCCGCAGGCGGCGGGCGCTGGCCCGCATGCAAGCCGATGCCCGGCACAGCAGTGCCCGAGGCGATGATGTGCGGCGCTGTAGGGCGGCAGGTGCCGGCTCCTGTTGCTGGTGCTCATCGGAAGAGGAGCAGTCGGCAGGAGAGTAGCCCAGGGCTGGGGGCTGCACCAGCCAGTGCGCCTGCGTCAAGGGGCGGACAGGAAGTGAGGCACAGTCTGCTCCGGTGCTGGGGAAGACACACCCTCTCCTCACAGGGCTCAGACCCAGTGTTTGCCCCTCACCTCGTCAGCAGTCAGCTCCAAGTCGACAGTGAGCCACAGCTCGGCGGCAGCGGCGATGGCGGCAGTGGCAGCATCAACAGGTTCAGCGCAGTCGAGGGCGGCAGTGAGGTTGGCAGCGGGAGGCGGGCAGAGGTGGTAGTCCATGCACTCCTGCTGGTGCTCGGGGGCAGTGCACACGCTAGCAACGCGGTGGACGGCGGCGTCTGCAGTTGCGATGGTCCAGCCCGCGTCGGCGGCAGGGGCGGATGCGGCGACGGCGGCTTGCTTGCCGTGCTTGCTGCGCAGGGTCAGCGACTCGGGGGCTGGGCGCGAGAAGAGGCTCGTGGTCTTGAGAGCTGCAGAGGAGCAAAGGGGAGGAGAGGTGGTGGCGCCATGCACAGATGACATGCCACACGTTTTGCGTAGAGGGCCTCCTTGTGCGCACTACAGACTCCACAAGCAACTCGCAACGGCGTACCGGCGCCATTAGGCTTGCTGGAGACAGCGAAGAGGGACTTGAGGAGCTGCATGGTTGTGTTGCTGCTGGTGGTGGGTGCGGAGGCAAGGAGGCGAAGGGAGGGCCTGGCGGTGCAAAAAAGGAGCAAGGGAGGACAGAATGAGAGCCCCTATCCAGGCGCTGGGGCAATGAGGCGGAGCTCGACGCTTTGGCACAGCAGGCTCAGCACAGCGCATGCTGTGGTCCGCCCTGGTCACCCCCCCTGGTTTAGACGGTCTAAAGCTGTGGCCTTGTCATTTCCTTTTGTCTACGTCTCATTCGAGAGCTGTTTCGAAATCGCTTGAGAGGGTATGTGACAAGCATTGTATGCAAGCGGCGCCAGAGAGGGCGGCGACGCCATGCACAACTGTCTCCTACCACTGCCAGCAAATGGATGTTGAGGAGGGCTGCAGGCGCTGTCACATCCTGTGCTGAGGGCTCATGTTCATTGCAACACATAAGGTTGCGGTCAGAGTAATAGCGGAAGTGCCCTGGAAGCATGCATGTATCAAGTTGCTTGCCAGGTGCACCAAGCTGTCACCGCAGCGCTGTGCCGCTCAACTCTCAACCGTCTGAAAACTGTCGGGCGGATGCCGGCCGATACCGCCGCCACCTTGACTCGGCGGCAGCCCCTGCCGTGGCCCCTACAGCTCAGGGGCACCGCGGCCTGCCAAGGGCAGCCTGCTGGCGCCAGGAACGTTGCCAGCAGCTTCAGGCGCTATGCCGCCTTAGGCGCCGCCGCCACCTGCTCCTCCTTGCCAAGCTCCCCAAAGACCGTGAACGCCAGCAGCGCCAGGATGGCGGCGCCACTGACCACCGCACCCCCGAAGAAGCACCCCGTGTTGCCCATGCCGCGGGCCGCCGTCACGTCGCACAAGCGGCCGGCCAGAGAGTTGGAATACGCCAGCGCCACGCCTGAAGGGCGAGGAGCACAGGCAGAGGGGAACAGACGGTGCGTGGGAGACATCGAATGGACGCCCCAGCAGCGCTTGGAATGGCAGCTGAAGAGGGGCAACCGCGGGTGGAGAGCGGCGGCGGCCCATGGCAGCTAAGGAGTTGAGCGCCTGCCTCGGGAGGCAAGCCATGCTTGTCGAGCCATGCTCAGCCATGGCTGCAGCCCCGCACCCAGCAGGAGGTCGGTGAAGGACCAGACGGTACCGCTGATGCGCCCCAGGCCCGGCACCGCTTGGCTGGGGATGACTGCACGGCACGGGGCTTTGTGGGGCGTGGATAAGTGGGTCGAGTGGGGAGGGTGAGCAGATACAGGCTGACACAAGCTGGGCGCTCACGCCACACAGCATGCAATGGCAGCGTGCCGAGCATCCCAGGCTGGGCCCGAGTGTTTGCAAGGGGTGAAGAGGAGAGAAAGGGCCACTCACACGCCGCCAGCATGCCAAACAGCACCCCCTGGGTAGCGGCCATGTGGAGGCCGACGAAGGTGGAGCCCAGCACCATGCCTGCACCAACAGCAGCGGCAGCGCCGTGGGGAGCGTGAGGATCGCGGGGCGGGGCTCGCAACCACACAGCCACGCAGCCGCGGCAGGGAGGCGTGGCTTGGCTCGCTTCCCTGCCAATGCAGCAGCATACAGGCCTGTGCAGCAAGCAGCCAGCGGGGAGCCGGCAGCGGAGCTCACCCAGCACGCTTGGGAAGAAGCCGAAGCAGAGGTCCCCAGCTATCAGGGCCGCTATGCCCGCCACCAGCACTGTGTTGCGGGACCGCACGCTGCCCTTGGCCCGCATGCCTAGCGGGGCGGCCTGCGGGGTGGCCGCCCAGGGAGAGGGCAGTGGGTCACGGGACCTCCCAGCTATGGGGCGGCGGCCTGCGGCCGCCATGGCAGCTGCCTGGCAGCCCACACCACAGCCCATCGCACCGGTGAGGTCACCTCACAGCCCTACGGTAGGGGTGCCGTCCCTCGCCCCCACACATCAAGCCCAGCTGGCCAGCAGGGCACGCCCCGCTGAACACCAAGCGCCCCCTGGGGCCTCACCAGCACCACCACCGGCAGCATGGAGAAGAGGGTGAGCATCGGCAGGCTCGCCTTGTCCATCACCTGCTCCCCAGGCAGGCAGGAGAAGCAGGCAGGCAGGCAGGCGACGGAATGGAAAGGCCGGCAGGTCGGCGTGGCACCCCCTCCCATGCCGTCATGACACAGCCCCCTCGGCCGCCGCCTGCCTGCCGGCCCGGGCGGCGAGCGCTGCATGGGCAGTTGGCAGGGTGCCAGCGGGAGCCCAGCGAGGCGCCAGCGAGGCGCCAGCGGGGCGCACCGAGCCGGCGTGGACTGTGATGAAGGCCACGTCGAAGCGGGCCAGGTAGAGTATGCACATGGTGAACAAGGCCTGGTAGTAGCCGCGGGGCAGGGCCCCCAGGAATGCGCGCGCTTTGCCCAGGCCGAGGCGTGCGCCGCCGGCGTCGCTGTGGGCTGCTGCTGCAGGGGGCGCAGGAGGAGGAGGAGGAGGGGTGACGCGCGTGCGGCATGGTCTACCAAAGCAAACCCAAAGGGAAGGAAAGGCAAGGAGCTGGCTGGCAGGGGCGCTCACTCACGGTGAGCATTGGCTGCCTTGGCGTCTGCGCTGAGGGCGCTGGCCACGAGCGCCAGGCCCAGCAGGGCGGGGATGACCGACAGCGCAAAGGTCGCCTCGTAGCTGCGGCCCGTCAGCTGCACGGGCAGGCCGGCAGGCAGGTGGGCAGGGCGGGCGCGCAAGCGGTCGAGTGGCGGCAGGCCCGCATCTGCTGAGAGAGAGTGCCCACCGGAGCCCCTGAGCTGTTGCATCGCCTCGCAGCTGCTTGTCCCAAAGCGGGCGGGGCCTGGTGGGCTGGAGAAGGGGCACGCTGTGCCAGGCCACTTCCCCCTGTTGCCTGCCGTCCCCTGCCTGCAGCCGCTGCCCACCTGGAACGCCAGCGCCGCCGCTCCCGAGCCCAGCAGCATGCCCAGCGTGGACAGCGCCTGCCGCACGCTGAAGGCGGCGGCCGCAGAGTCGCCAGACTGCGAGGCAAGGGCGGCGGGCACATTGTTGCGGTACAGCAGCAGTACAGCCGCAGTACAGCATGGCGGCTGCAGGATGTGGGGCGAGCGGCTGGTGGGGGCAGCAGGTATGCAGGAGGCGCAGGGAGGCGGGGAGCCAGTTGGTATGGCGGGGCTGGAGAGGGGCTTGCACTTGTGAATGATTAACATCAACGGCACGAGAGAGGCAGCGCTGGGCGGCGTCTTGCAGTACACTGCCGGGCCGTACCTGCGCCGCCAGCTCCCCGACCAGCGCCTTGGACGGTGCCTCGCGCACGCCCTTGACTATGCGGTCAAACATCTGCACGAGGCGGTACAAAGCGGTACGAAGCGTCGGTACAGCACATGGCGCGGCACAGGGTGCAGCGCATGCGTGGAGCAGGCGCCACCACACGCTCGCGCACCGGCAGCAGCAGGGGAGACCCAGCACCGGCGGCAGAACCAAGCAGCAGCCACAGAGGCAGCAGCAGCAGCAGAGGCAGAACCCACGCGAGCCCGACCTTAGCGTAAGTGATCCAGGCCACGCAGGCCGCCGCCCCTGCCACCGTGTACACCGAGCCGCACAGCGCAAACATGGGCTTGCAGACGACCGCCGTCAGCGCGACGCCCAGGATCACCATCCTGCGGCGGAGGGGTGGGGGGGGTGGGGGGTGGGGGGGGTGGAGTAGCGAGTGAAGGTGGCGGCGGCCATGCTGCAGAGACCAGCAGTGCTCGGGTTTCTGAAGAAAGCGATGCCCGGGCTTTTCGACGCACTGTGCTGGCTCGCGCGCCGGGCCTGTGGCAGGGGAGCGGCAGCGGCGGCGGCGTGCCTGGCGGGGCTGAGAACGTCGGCCAGCCTGCCGCTGACGACGCCAGAGGCGCGGGACAGCAGCTGCAGCAGGCCGTGCAGGTTGCCCATCTGCGGGTGCGAGCCGCGTGGGTGGCCGTGAGTGAGCGCCCTGGCACCGGAACAAGGCAGTCGAGCCCTGGCGCTCCTCCCCAGCTGCCGCTGATGCCAGGAGGCGTGAGCAGGGCAAGCAGCGAGCCCGCCGCAGCGCAGCGGACGGCCTCAGGGTGCCGGCTCGCCTTGGTGTTGCTCATGTGCAGGACATCGCTCATGTAGAGCGGCAGGTAGGTATCGTGCAGGAGGGTGGCGATCGACGACAGCATCTGGGCTGCAGGCGGGCAGGTGGCACCGAGTGGCGGCCAAATAAAAGGCGGCTGAGCGTGCGAGAGCATGCGACCGGCACCGCACACCAGGCGCCAGCGCGGCCGGGCGCACTGCAGCGATTGGCGGGGCCTGCCCGGGGCGGCAGGGCGTGCCTGTGCTGAGAGCGATGAGCTTGCGGTTGCAGACAGGGTCGTGGAGGGCTTGCGGGAACAACGCCGCCATGCCGCCCTTCTTCTTCCCTGCCCCCACGGACTGCTGCTTGGCTGCGCTGTCGTCTCCAGGGCCATCCATGGCCCCAGCTGCTGCCTGGGCCGCCGGCCGCGGCGCCAGAGCCCGGCGGCGGCACGCCGGCGGCGGCACTGCCCATGGCGGCCAGCGACACCGGGCGCGGAGCTGCGCGCCCGCTAGGCTGCCGGGCCTAGCTACCGCCGAGGCGGCCTGCATGCCGTTCCAGCTGCAGCAGGCTGCTTGGGCAATCGCCTATCGAAGATGATGTGTCGGGAGCGGCTGCGCAAGTGCTATTCTGCGTGTCGCAGCAGGCGGGATCGCTTTACAAAGATGTTGATGTTACGTGGGCTTGGGTTTGATGTCAATCCGTTGGTTTGGCCTGGCGCCCGCCTGGCGCCCGCCGCCCGGCACCGCATGTCAGGAAGACTTCCTTGCTCTGGCGATATAGTGAAGCTGGCGCCGCAGGCCACCATGATGACAGGCATATCTGCGACTCTTCGGCACCCTGCCGTGGGAACATGGGCCCGCCCTGCAACGCCCCGAGCCGGCGCCGCCAGCCGAAGCTCTGAGTCAAACAAAGTGGCAGTACTTCACAGAACGAGAGTCCCAACTTGTGTTTTAGGTGTAAATAGGGGGTGAATATATCAATAATCAAGGGTTGGGTCAAGGCAGTCCAGGAGCAGCCCCTTGGTTCAGGGGCAGCCCAGCTGTCGGTATCTGGCCGCCAGTCAGCTCAGGCCCAGTTCACGTGCGTCTTGGTCCAGCCGTCAGATGTGCAGGGCGAAAAGGTGGTGGCTGCGGGCGCGGCCCTGAAGCAGGCGGGGGCGCTGAGGCTGGCCCGCAGGCGGCGGGCGCTGGCCCGCATGCCAGCCGATGCCCGGCGCAGCAGAGCGCAAGGCGATGATGTGCGGCGCTGCAGGGCGGCAGGTGCTGGCTCCTGCTGCTGGGGCTCAGCGGAAGAAGAGCAGTCGACAGGAGAGTAGGTTAGGGCGGGGGGCTGCACGTGCAGGTGCACCAGCCAGCGCGCCTGTGGCAAGGGGCGGACAGGCAGTGAGGCACAGTCAGCTCTGGTGCTGAGGAAGACACAGCCTCTCCTCATAGAGCTCAGCCCCTGTGCCTGCCCCTCACCTCGTCAGCAGTCAGCTCCAAGTCGACAGTGAGCCACGGCTCGGCGGCAGCGGCGAGGCTGGCAGTGGCAGCATCAACAGGTTCAGCGCAGTCGAGGGCGGCAGTGAGGTTGGCAGCGGGAGGCGGGCAGAGGTGGTAGTCCTGCTGGTGCTCGGGGGCGGTGCACACGCTAGCAATGCGGTGGACGGCGGCGTCTGCAGCTCCGATGGTCCAACCCGCGTCGGCGGCAGGGGCGACGGCGGCGGCCAGCTTGCCGTGCTTGCTGCGCAGGGTCAGCGACTCGGGGGCTGGGCGCGAGAAGAGGCTCGTGGTCTTGAGAGCTGCAGAGGAGCAAAGGGGAGGAGAGGCAGTGACGCCATGCACAGATGACATGCCACACGTTTTGCGCAGAGGGCCTCCTTGCGCGCACTGCGGACTCCACAAGCAACTCGCAACGGCTTACCGGCGCCATTAGGCTTGCTGGAGACAGCGAAGAGGGACTTGAGGAGCTGCATGGTTGTGTTGCTGCTGGTGGTGGGTGCGGAGGCAAGGAGGCGAAGGGAGGGCCTGGCGGTGCACTAAAGCCGCAAGGAAGGACGGAATGAGAGCCCCTATCCAGGCGCTGGGGCAATGAGGCGGAGGTCGACGCGTTTGGCACAGCAGGCTCAGCGCAGCGCATGCTGTGGTCCCCCCGTTGGAAGGTGTGGCCTCCCTCCTTCTCAAACCCCGCTTCGCATTGCTGTTTCCACGGTTTTCTGCTGTATTGACAATTCACATAGTACATGAGTTCAGTAGAAGAGTCCTGGGCATGAGGTCAGTAGAAGAGTCCTGGGCAGGAGTTTGTGGCGGCAGGGCATATGATCGGGTGCGCGGTCTGTGTGATGGGTGCGAAAACTCGTCGACATAAGACGGTTGGAAAAGGAGGACAATTGACAAGCCTGAAAAGTGCCTATAAGTCTGAATCGGCGTCTCATCTGCCGCCAGGTGTGTCGGGTCCTGCCCGGCCGCTGCCCACCAATTGCGTCATCCCCCTGACGCTGAACCCTAAGCCGCCGCCGCCGCCGCCGCCTCGCCCTTCGGCAGACATCTTCATGCCGCCTCCGCTGCTGCCTGCTGCCCTGCTGGGGGCTGAGCTGCCGTAGGCAGCGCTGCCGCGTATCCCGGGCGCCAGCTGCGGCGCCTGCGGCTGTGCAGGTGCCGGTGCCGCGGCCGCTGCCACAGGCTCACCAGACAGCAGCACGGACCTCAGCTTCAGGGCCAGCTGCTGCACCTCTGCGGCCGCCCGTGTGGCCGCGCCCTTGAGGCTCGGCCGCCGCAGCAGGCCTCCGCTTCCGTTGCCGGCTAATGCGCCGCCGCCTGACAGTGCGCCGCCTGCACTGGCAGCAGCCAGAGCGGATCCTATCGGCGCTGCCGCGGCCGGCGCAGGTAGGGCCAGCGAAGCTGCAGCTGGCTGCGCGGTTGGCGGCGCCAGCAGCGGGGCGCCTGGCGGCGGCCGCTTGGCAGCAGAGGGAGGGGATGGCCTACTGAGCCTTGAGGGCTGCGGAGGTGCCTTGCCTGCGGCCGCGGCGCTGGGGCTCTGCTGGCTCAAGCGGCTGGGGCTGCTGCCAGCTGGTGGTTGCCATCCCGCCGCTCGCCGCTGTTGCTGCGGCACGGAGCCTGCAGCCCCTGCTGCCGCGGAGATGGCTGCTGCCGCCTCCCCGCCCGTGCCAGCAGCTCCTGGCGAGTGAGGAGTGCTCCCGCCGATGTGCGGCGTGCCCGGAGCGGACGCCCTCAGCTGCGCCGCCACCTTGCCGCGTGAAGCGTCCGCACGGGCCCTGCTGCCTCCCTTGCCACCACCGCCGCTGCTCGCCTCTGCTCCCCGGTGCTGCTGCAGCCTGCCATCCACAGCCGAGTCCATGGAAGCTGAGCGGCCGCTCTGCAGGCTGGCTGCCAGCCCCTTGTCCCGCCGGGGCTCTGCTGGCCCATCAGAGCTGCTGCGGAGGTGCGAGGCCAGCTGCGTGGCGGCAGGGGCCGGCACAGCTGGCCCCGATTTCTGCTTAACGAGAGGCTTGCTGCCGCCCCTGCCGTCGCCGCGGACCTGGCCCGGCAGCGACAGCGCCAGCCGTGCGTGGGCTGGCCGCAGCTGCTCATCGTACGCAGCGATTTCGGCGTGGACTCTGCAGCAGCAGGTGCCAGTAGTGAGCACTGATGGATCCCACAGCGGCGGCCTCTGACAATGCACACGTGCCCCCCATCCCGCCCACAACACATACACACTCCGCTCCAGCCCTCCCTCCCTCACTTGTCCAGCTGCTCCGGATCGAAGAGGAAGTCTCGCTCCGCCTCTGCCCGCGCCGCATCCGCCGCCTCGTATGCCTTGACCTCTGCGCTGCTGCTCTCCAGCGCGCCGCACGACATGCGCACGGGCAGGCACTTGAAGGCCTCGTTGGCCTGGGGGCAGGGCGAGGGGGAGGGCATCAACCGCAGAGGAAAGAGAAGGTGGGCAGGCACCGGCATGCATGCAGCAGCACAGCGTATACTTGAGGCAGGTTGAGAGGCGGCAAGTGGAAACAGGGGTGCCAGATTGGCCACCTGTGCTGAGGAGCAGGCGCCCCCAGCGCACGGCTGCCTGCTGCAGCTCGGCAGCCCCCCGCGAGATGGTCCACCCCCGCCAGCCCACCTTGCGCGCCTCGCGCCGCACATCCGCGTCGCCATCTGTGATCAGGTGGCTCATGCCGCTGTTCAGCCGCTCCAGCAGGTGAACATCGTCGGGCAGCGCCAGCGCCTGCTTCAGCGGCGGCATGGCTGCCGCCAGGTGCAGCCGCACGTTGGCCACTGGGTCGTAAGCCAGGGTGAGGGCCGCCTCCAACAAGTGCGCCTGCGGCAGGTGGAACAGCCAGGGAGTTCCCAGGCGGGCTGGGTGGGCGGCGGGCAGCCCCCGTGACGCTGCTCGGCGGTGGCGGCAGCGGGGCAGCGGGAGATGGACAGGCACACCCCACGCGGCACCTCTTGTCGATGTATTATCACCGACCACTCACCTTGATGAACCTGCTGCTGAAGTGGCGCTGGGCGTGGAGGCAGAAGTCCAGGAACACCATGCGGTGGCGGAAGCTCTTAGACTGAAGCCAGGCGGGCACAGCGGGCACCGCGGGCGTGCCAGATAGCCATCAGCCTCCCAGCAACCTCACCTATCCCAACCCCGGCCCTGGCCTGGTGCTGCTGCAGCCTGCCACGATGTCGCACAGCACCTGGCCCCACCTGCCCAAAGTCGAGCACGGCTCGGGCGTAGAGCGCGGTCCGGTGTGGCGGCTTGCGCAGCGCGCGCCAGACGGCGGCGGCGGCCGCCGCGGCCGCCTCGCGCACCGCCGCCACCCCCTCGCCCATATACTTCCACGCCAGCGGCAGGAAGCGCTCGTATAGCTGGTCCGGCGAGAAGAAGGCTGGGAAGGCGGCCAGGGCCTGCAGCAGCGCCAGCTGCAGCCGCCAGCTGTACCCGCTGACGGCCTCCAAGCGCAGGAGCGGGTCAACAAAGGATGCCAGCACCTTGGTGCGGGCCTCCTCCGGCGCGCCCAGGCAAAAGTGCTGCAGCACCTCTGGCAGGCGCCCCAGCAGGCACGCCTGCACCTCCTGCCGCTCGTCCTGCAGCAGCGCCGCCACCGGCTGCCGCAGGTACTGGCAGCACCGGTCGCGCCCCAGGCTGGCTGCCACATCGGGCAGCGCGGCGGCCGCCGCCAGCCGCACCTCGGCGTCGGCGTCGGAGGCCAGGCGCAGGAAGGTGTCGTGGAGGTGGGAGCCGTACCGCCGTGCGGTACCGGCCCGCAGCACCGCCGGGAAGGCGGCGGCGCAGTTGAGCCGCGTGGCGTGGTCGTGGCGCCAGGCCTGGCTGCGGAAGTAGCCCAGGCAGGCGTTCACCTCTGCATCTCCCTCCATGTCAGCCACCAGGCGAGCCATGAGGGCCCCCAGCCCCGCCGTCAGGCTGCGGTGCACCTCGGCGTGGTGCTCCGGGTCGCGGCACTGCTGCAGCAGCAGCGGCAGCGCGCGGGACCGCCGCAGCCGCATGGGCAGCAGGTCCAGGGCCGCCGCCAGCGCGCGCCACGCCGCCGCGCGCACCAGAGCCTGCGGGGCGGCGGAGAGCAGGTTGCAGGAGCTTGGAAGTGTGCTGCCATGAAAAGTTGGAGGGGACCTTGCAGTCGGGCTGGCTTTGGAGGCCAGCCGCACAGTTGCCCAGGCGCATCTGCCATACATGCACAAAATGCAGAGCCGAACAATGTGGCGCCTCGGGAGCAGTGTAGGCACACCCAGCCAGCCAGCCAAGCCCCACCTCCTCGTCCTCCAGCAGGCCAAACAGGTCCTCCAACACGCCCTCCAGCTCCGCCGCAGGCAGCTTGTCCGCCGTGGCCGTCGCCAGCGCGGGCAGCTGCTGGCAGGCGGCGTGCCGCACCTGCCACTCCGTGTCCTGGCACAGCGTGCCCGCCAGGCGCAGCAGCGTGCGCTTCAGGTCCTCTTCGTCTGCGTACGGCGCCACCGCGCCCAGCAGCAGGCAGCACAGGCAGCGCTCCCGCAGGCTGCGCCCGCCGCCGCTGCCGCGCGCCACCACGCTGGGCAGCACGCGGTTGCGCAGGGTGATGGGGTCCAGAGCCGGGGCGATGTCGGCCAGGCAGGCCAGCCACGCGGCCTGCGCCGCGGGGTGCCCGCCGTCGCCCACCCCCGCCAGCACCAGCGGCAGGATGGCGTCAGCAAGGTCAACGTTGGGAAGCAGGCGTTCCCGCGCCACGGTGGCAAACGACTCTGCCGCCGCCATCTGCCCCTCGCTGTCCAGCTGCCGCGCGGCTTCCATGAGGCTGCGGGAGATGGCGGGGAAGACCCCCCGCCCCGCCGACCGCAGCAGGCCCGGCAGGTTGTCAATCACCGCCGCCTGCTGCACCGCCTGGCCCCCAGACATGTAGAGCTGCGCCCGTTCAGCATCACTCAAGCCCTCTGGGACCTGCAGCACGGGCGGCATGGGGCGGATGGTAGGCCACAGGGCCTGGGGGCATTCAGGATACCCCAGGCAGCACCGCGCAGGATGAGGTGGTGGTGGCAGACAAGGGCAGGATGAGGTGGTGGTACAGCGGGAGTCCTCACCGTGAGCCTGTCCAGCTCCTCCTGCGTCACCGTGGCATCCTGGAACGCGTGCGCCGCCTCCTGCACGCCATCCAGCTTGTCCACCACGACTGCTGCATCGGGCGCGGCCGCCTTGTCGGGCGCTGCCGCTGCTCCCAGCGAGGGACTCATGCCGCCGCCACTGCTGCAGTGCTGCGTTGCAGTTGAAGTGGCTGGTGATGCGCAACTGCGGCTGTCCCAGTTGCTAAACAAAGTCGATCATTCCGTTTCGGGGAGGCAGAGCAATGTTCGGCCGCACCGCGCCGCCGCCCCTCCCGCCGCCCGGTGCCACAGCTGGCTGGCCGCCGGGGCGTCTCCAGCGACCAGCGACGATTCAATTGAGCTGCGGCTGCGTTACAGCTGCGTTTTCGCTTGCTGATTGGGGCCTCGCTGCGTGGCGGGCCAGTGCCCCCTTCTGGTCAACGCTCGCGGAGCGGCTAGAAGCACCCTGAACAGCGAGACACGCACTATTTTTATTGCATGAGACGGGCGTCAGCAAAGCCGAGGCGTCAGAAAGAGCGTGCACAGCTACGCCTGCCACCTGTCGCTGCCGCCAGGACCGCAACACATGAGGCGCTCCTCCTGGTTTACAGCTGCTGCAGGGTGATAATAAGAATTCTCAGGGCCGCTCAAGCACATTCAAAGCACATGTAATTGACAGGTGGCGGCGCGCGCGGCAGCCATGAGGCGCGCCGTGCCGCTCGCCGCTCGCCGCCAGGCTCACGCCGCCGCCGCCTCGGCCAGCAGCGTGCGCATGTCTGCGATGTGGTGCCGGATGGCCTCCAGCTCCGCCTCCATCTTCACCACCCGCTCCAGCTCCAGAGCCTTGATGTCTTCGGGGGTCTTGTCCTGGTAGCCAGGCAGCGCCATCTTGCGCTGCAACTGGTCCAGCTGCGGGGCGGGACAGCGGGACAGCAGTAGCAGTGAACAGCATGGAGTAGAGCGGAAGACGAGGCGTCACGAGGGACGGCTGCGCAGTGAAGCTGCACAAGAGCAGCCCCGCACGAAGCTCTGCGCGAGGCACCAGGCGCCGGCGAGCACGGGCTGGCGCCACCAAGCAACGGGACCTCACCTTGCCCACCGCCTCGCCCTCCCGCTTGCTCAGCTTCTCCAGCTCCTTGGCCGCATCCAGCACGCCGCTGCGGGCAGGCACACACGTGGGGGGCGGATGGTGAGCGTTCCGCACGGCCATGTGCCAATGCCACGTCAGCAGGTGCAGGCGTCCTGCAGTCAGGTGTCCTGCAGATGCTGCTGCACGGGATGCCTGCCTCCTGCACCATCAGGAAGCCCACCTGAGGGAGAGATAGACGGTGGTGACTTCGTCGATGATGGCCACAGCGCAGCCCGGAGGCGCCGCCTCGCCCTCCTGTAGGCAGGCAGGCAGGCAGGCAGGACGAGGGATAGGATCAGCAGCAGGGCACATGAAACACACATGGGTGCAGAGCCTCGAGGGAAGGAGGCTGGAGGGATGCATGCCCCCGTTGGGTCTGCCGCTTGCCAGCCGCCGAAGCGCGGCGCGGCGACGCGGCGTGCGCACCGCCAGCATCTGCAGCGAGGCGTTGGTCGTGAGTGTGGTGATTTCCACGCCGCAGCTCGCTAGCAGCGCTGCCTTGGCTGCAGGAAGGAAGGGCGGGAGGGAGGGAGGAGGGACAGGCATGTTCGGCGCCGTCAGCCGGCTGCATCGACATCAGTGCTTCTTGGCAAGCTGCAGCTGCATGCGGGCCGGCGCCAGGGGTGAGGCCCAGGCGCTGCCGCGCGCAACCCACCCGCGTCCTTGCAGCGCAGCAGCATGGGCGGCCGCTGCCGCGTCGTCAGGTCGTAGTCTGCCCGCAGTGCACGCGTCCTGCAAGAGGTGGCGATGGAAACACACAGCATTACCGTCAGCTGGGCAGCAGTGCCCGGGTGCCGAACACGTCTCCACCAGCCTACCCACCGAAGCAACCACCACACCCCGCCCGGCAAAAGCAAGCGCTGCCACAGCGGGCTCGCCACGCCGCACGCCGCCGGTGGGCCGCCTCTGCTCCCCCCTGCCACCTCACCTGTTGACCACCAGCAGCATGTACGCCATGTCAGCCTCCGCCTGCTCGCTGCTCCAGCCCTCAACGGGCGCCGGGTAGTCGGCCACCATGATGGAGGCGGCCTGCTGCTGGCCGGGGCGCCGCGGCAGCCGCTGCCACAGCTCCTCGGTGACAAAGGGCATGAAGGGGTGCAGCAGGCGCAAGCCCGCCTCCAAGCACACCCACAGCGTGTCGCGCGTGGCCTGCTTGGCCGCCGCTGCGCCCTCGGCTGCACGGGGGGTGGATGCGGGGGTCGGCAGGTACGCTGGTCGGGGTGCCAGCAGCGCCTGCTGGGGGCTGCAGCCTGGGCTGTGGCACGCCTGCCGTGTGCGGGCGCGGCGCCGGCGCGATGCAGCGGCGGCGCTGAAGCTGTACTGCCTGCTGTACCGCCCACCTGCGTCGTCCAGCGCCATGACCGGCTTCATCAGCTCGATGAACACGTCGCACAGCTCGTACTGCCAGAAATTGTACACAGCCTGCGGTACAACATGCAGCCAGGAGTTTTAAGGTTCACTCCTGGCTGGAAACCTCCCTGAACCACTCTCCCTAAAGCCAACCACCCACAACTACAGAAACCACGACCGCCGTCGCACCCGCGTTTACGCCAAACACACCAGCGCACACGGCCCCCAGAGCTGTATCCCACCCCCTATCAGCAGCAGTACAGTAGTACAAAGCCCGCTCACCGAGGTGGCGATGGAGAATTCGTAGGCCTCCATGCCCCTGATGGTGGTGCCCACCGCGCCGTTGAGCTTGCTCAGGATCCAGCGGCTGGCAAACGGGAAGGAGGGGACGTCCAGCGCCTCCGAGGGTTGGAACTGCAGCCGGGAAGAAAGCAGGGGGAAGGAGGCGGGTGAGGGGGCTGGCGAGGAGCTGAGGCGTGCTCCTGTCGTCGGCTGTGCTTCGAACGCCGTGGCAGCAGCACACACAGCACCTCGTCTCACGCCCGCCTGCGCATTTACGCATTTACAACTCAATACACACGTGCTGGCCTGGCACCCACCTCTGAACCAAGGTTGATCATGGCAAAGCGGATGGCGTTCCACAGCTTGTTGCACCAGTGGCGGTACGACACCACGCGCTTGATGTCCAGGTTGATGTCGCGACCCTGCGGTACCAGCAACGGTGCCATCAGTACCAGGGCCAGTACATCATGTGCATGCGGGACAATTGCAGCACCGTTGAGGCCTCGCCTTGCTTCGCCGGCAGGGCCGCTGGGCACTGGGTGCGGCCGGCACTGCCAGGAGCACACCAGCCGTGCGATGTGAATGCCAGGAGCGCCAGCCAGCCAGCCCACCTGCGAGGTGTAGGCCACCAGCGCAAAGCGCAGCGCGTCGGTGCCGCACTCCTCGATGCCGTCTGGGAAGTCTGCTCGCTGCCCCGACGCCGCCTTCTCCACCTGCGCAGCAAGGTGCAGGCGCGGCCGCCGGCTGGGACACTCGAATGGGGCCATGCCTACGCCTTGCGGCATCCCACCCCTCCCAGCAGGCCTGCCCGCCTTGTACCCAGCCATCACCCCTCTGCCAGCCTCCAACTCCCCACCCCCAGCCAGCCAGCCGGCTCAGATACCTCCTTGGGGTCCAGGTTGCCACCCAGCAGCGTCTGGTGCAGGCCGTCCAGAGTGATGCCCTCAATCACGTTGATGGGGTCTGCAGGCACCGAGGGGTCACCACACAGACGGAGGGAAGGAGATGGAAGGCAGGGCAGAGATGGAGCACGTTTGTGGGTTTCAGCAGGCGTCAGGAGAGGGAGCGGGAGGGAGACGCAGGGGCAGTGCGCGCAGCCGGCGTGAGCAGCAGAGGTGGACGCCGCATGGCAGGCAGGATGGGCGGGCGGGCGGCAGGCTGCGGCAGCGCACGCCGTTGTGCTGAGATGCCTTCATGTGTGCAGCGCGTCTGTCGCTGTGCTGAGAGCGGCGCACCTATGACATTGCCCAGCGACTTGCTCATCTTGCGGCCGTGCGCGTCGCGCACCAGGGAGTGCAGGAAGACCTGCTTGAAGGGGACCTCTCCTGCACCGCCATGCCGCAGCACAGCGCAGCTCGTCAGCTTCTCGTCAGCTTCCCGCACAGCGCCTGACGCCACTGCCCGGCCCGGCGCCCCTGGCCCAGGCTCAACCGGGGACAACCCCACACGACAGGGCAGCAAGCAGGGGCTGGGGCGGGCGTGGCGGGCGGTGGCGACGCAGGCGGCACCGACGGTACCGTCCACCTACCCGTCAGCTTCATGCCCATCATCACCATGCGCGCGACCCAGAAGAAGAGGATGTCGTGTCCCGTCTCCAGCAGGGACGTGGGGTAAAACCGCGCCAGCTCAGGCGTCTGCTGCGGCCACTGGAAGACTGTCGGTAGGGAGAAAGGAGGAGCGCAGGGGGCAGGGGGGGCGGGAGGGAGAGTGTGTGAGAGTGGTGGTGGTGGTGGTCATGTGGCTTGCAGGCGGTGAAGTGGTCGTGTGGGGTCGTGATAAGAGGCGAGGAGCGGGAAGCGGGAGTCAAGCGGGGCGGGTTGCTTGTAGAAGGCTGCCGGCAATGTCGGCTGCAGGCAGGCAGGCAGGTGGGTGGCCCACCAGGTAGCTGCCGCACCTGAGAAGGGGAAGAGGCCAGAGGAGAACCAGGTGTCTAGCACGTCCTCGTCCTGTGGGTGGGAAGAAAGCACGACATGGGTGGAAAGCACGGCGCAAGGTGGAAAGCACGGAATCAGGACGAAGGGCGGCAGGGCTGCCGCCCGTGCTTGGCAGGTGCGTGCGGTGGTGCGCAGTGCGTGTGGGGTGGAGGGGTGCAGGCATGGTGTGCTGTGCTGCACACATGAAGCAGGAGTGCAGCAGGGCGTGCTGCGTGTGCTGTGGAATGTGCCGTGAGTGCAAAAGGCCGCGATTCATGGCCGCGCCCCGGGTGAGGGGGCGCGGCATGTTGCCGCCCGCTTAGTCAGGGCTGTGGGTTTGGGTGTGGCACCGGTGACGCCGCGGGGCGGTCAGGGCGAGGCTCCTGCTGAGCAGGGGACCTCGCTCCGCCTCGCAGGGTCGGGTGCGTGTGTGTGAAATCCGACGGGCATGTCCTGACGTGCAGGGGCGAGGCGCATGCCACCAGCTCTCTCGCCCACCCCACCCCACCTGAGGCCAGCTGGCTACCATGCCCGGGCAGCTCCCTGGCAGTGCCCACCCCACCAAACCAGACACAAGGGCCCCGCCGCCCACGCACCTGCACCACCTTGACCGGCCGGCCGGGGAAGCGATGGCGCGCAGCCGCCAGCGCCTCGCCCTCGTCCCGCCCCACCACCCAGCGATCCATGTGCTCGCTGGGGGCCCCGGGGTTGCCCCGCTGCTCCTCTGCCTCGTCTGCAGGCCAGGGCAGAGCGGCAGGCAGGGAGGGAGGGAGTCTCCGAGAGTGACAGCTTGTCAACAGCAGGCTCTTGGTGGCAGCGCTGCGCGGAGCGGCAGAGTGGCAGCCGGACCAGCCGGCAGCACAGGAGGCATGCAGGAGCACATCGGGCCAGGGAGGAAAGCGCGGGAGGAAAGCGCAGGAGGAAAGCACGGGAGGAAAGCACGGGAGGAAAGCACGGGAGGAAAGCGCCTCACCCTCCAGCGCCACATAGTAGGCGGGGATGCGGTGCCCCCACCACAGCTGCCGCGACACGCACCAGTCCCGGATGTTCTCCATCCACCTGCGGCAGGCGGCAGGTGTGTGTGTGTGTGTGTGTGTGTGTGAAAGTGGGAGAGGCAGTGCCACAGGCCGCCGCCTTCCAGCACATCCGACAGCAGCCCCGCAACACAAGGGGCGCGGGCGGCAGCCGCGCCATGCCGCGCCTGCTCCACCTGGGCGCGCTCGCTGGCGCCAGCAGGCGCCTGCCCAGCACGGCAGCGGCCCTCCCCACCTGAACCATGTCGCCTCAAACTCTCGGGGAATGATCTCCAGGCGGCCGTCCCGCACCACGGCGCACGCGTCCGCCGCCATCTGCTGGCAGTTAACCCACCACTGCGGCTTGAGCACGGGTTCGATCACGTCCTTGGAGCTGCAGGGGCAGCCAGGGGACGTTGCAAGCGAGTGAGGGAGGGAGGTAGTGAAGGAGGTGGGTGGGGTGCGAGGAAAAGGGGCGGGGCAGCCACCAGGCCTCCGGGGCTGAAGATGACTTGCCAATCAACACAGTGGGAACTTGAGAAAGGACACGCGAGAGGCGCAGGCTGGGCGGAACAAGCAGGACGAGGTGGGAGCGGCGGCGTGCTCCGGCACGCTCCGCCGGGCGCACGGATGCAGGCACAGGCGCCGGCGGCGGGGCGCGGGTGTGGTGTGCGCCGCCGCTGCCGCCGCAGCCGCAGCAGCTCACCGCGAGCACAGGCCCAGGCGCATGGGGTTGTCCAGGGTGCCTCGGAACAGGCCCCGCTCCTTCAAGTACTCCACCACAGTCACGCGGGCCTGCAGGGGGCGCGGGGTGGCAGGGGGGTGGCGGGGAGGGTGGCGGGGAGGGGATGGGGTGGGGTG